TTTGCATCACCAGGAGTTTCTTTGGCTCATTCTGAATTGGAAACAATGACAACAATATGGCCTTATGCATACATTGAAATGTTGTCTCTTTTGAGACGTAAATTGGAGGTTTTACACGTTACATTTCAATGTGGTTTGAAATGCACTTATCTTTGCCGATTCTTTATAATGCTGAACTATAACAAAGTAGCAATAGCATTGCAGTTCCCCTTTAAAACAAAGACACAAACAGTATAAGTGAGTGGGAGATGTTAGTTTTGTAAGAATAGATTATACCTTAATGGATACAGTATTCCCCAAGACAAGAACTAAAGACAGGGAAAATCAGGTGAGACATTCTTCTCCATTGATCAGAGCAAAGCCTCCTAGATGACACAAAATGAAATTTGTAGATCACTATAAACAACTTTCTTAAAAGCTGCTGTAGGGATTGATTTGTGTACGTAAAAGGGTTCATTCGAAATATGGTAAAGCACTCTGCATGGAGAGGAAGAGATGCAGACAGCTGTTGCGTGAAATGCAGAAAGAGTATGTGACATTTCAGAGCAACTGGAAGGTGAAAAGTGCACTGTGTCACAAACACTATGGTATTTTGTACAATTATGGTATTCTTTATGTTTGGCCTAAATACAGTATAGTTCAAATGTTCCTTTTCTAATTGAGACGTTTGTGGTTACTCAGAAGAATATTCTGAGGTATAAAAACTGTTTGGAAAAGTTTGTGTTTAGAACACTGCAGACAATAATATACATTTTGCGTCCCAGTCTTGCTCTCCAAAAAATGTCCCTTCTGTAAAATTAAACACAATTACAAAAATTCACTTAGCTGTGCTGTGACTTCTAGCATCCTTATACTGGATAAAGAAAAATGATTCATTTTCAGTAATCTAGCACAAAAAGTATTTCTTCTTGATAACTCAGAAACTTTTACTTTGATTCTGAGTTGTTTAAGGTCTTTATTTTTGATATCCTCTTCAAAACTGTATAAACATAACATACATTTAAAGATGTGTAGATAACATCATTACTAGGATATACACAGAAGTTGACATGTAGCCAGTCACACTTGACACATTTATTCATCTGTTACAGAATCAGACCAATGTACTTAGATTATGACATTTTTTTTCTCTACACTGCACATCCTTGTTTTACATTCATTAGACATGATATGAAAGTTAAACCCTCACACTTCACACATAATTGAATGTAATGTGTATTTTTATATATGTGCAATTTTATGTTTTGATCTGGTGTGTTTAATTGCAGAAGGGAAGTGTTGAAAGATCAGATTTTCATTAAAAGAAATGCAGTGTAGTCTCATTATGTTCGGTAATTAATTTAGGTTGAAAAGGAGTAAAAAATGCTATATTATTTGCAATGTATATAATGAAATGCTACGGAATTATAATATGAAGTAATGTCTCTCTTCATTTAGTGCATTTATGTTTTAGTTATTTTTATATTTTGCTTTTACAAGGAATGGCAGTCAGTGAAACCAAATTTTGTCAGTACAGATAGAAATCCTAAGATGCCATCCTAAGAGCCAAATTATAGAACTGTCTGTCTTCAGGAACCTTGCTGATGTCGATAAGGATGGAAAGCTCAAAGCGGATGAATTTATTTTGGCCATGCATCTTGTTGACATGGCGAAAACAGGACAGCCACTTCCTCTCACTCTGCCTACTGATTTAATACCTCCCTCCCTCAGGTATGGAATCATTGCTGGATTTGTTATATGTTCCTGTGCAATGTGGTCAACTTTGAATTTTGATTTATGAAAATAGATCAAGTAAAGCGGTGCTCATGGGTGAAAGCAACTGCTTTGTGATCTAATGTAATCTAATGAAAATGAGTCATCAGTGAAAAGAAGTTCCTAGTCAAGGATTGGCAGAAATGTCAATGGCCTGTTCAGTGTCTTCTCTAGTTCATTGGCTATGAAAGGGCAGTAGCCAGGTTTTTGCCACCAGTACCAGTATAGCAGTTGTAGGAAGCAGTAACATCCTTTAAAGAGGCACCCTAGACGTTTTTCACAGGATTGGTGATTCCTTGATCTGGTCCAAAGTCCTCAACCACAACCCTGGCTTGGTGAGGACAAGAACAGTCAATTCAGATAAAAGTGAACCCACAACTCCAGTTGTTGAATCAGGAATCAGTTGAATGAACAGATGAACTATTTAAGAATAAACCAGTAGTTGCCTATTAAGCACATAGAAAGAAGTGCAGTTAATAACAAAGAAGACTCATTTCCTCATTATAAGAGTAGCCTTCTCATACACAAGCATGTTTCTGAGCTCTGGTTGCAGCTTGCCTGTATGTTGTCATGCAAAACCTATGGACAAAACAACTGCCTGAAAATGTAGTGACAGGTTTGTGTCTGCCTTTGTCACGCAATGAACATCCTTTAAAAGTGAACATGTGAAATAAGTCATCTTCCCTTCAGACCATGTCTGCAGCCATGGAGTGACAAGTTACTCCTCTCTTCCCTCCCCCTCTGCTGCCTCTTGGCAGTCTGTAAAAAGGAGCTTCTTTACAGAAATGGGTCAGAGTGTTTATTACAGGTTCTGTGTTTGGGAACTGCAGTGCAGCACTGCAGTAGCATTTAAATGTGTGTTTCACATAAAGGCAACATGCCTTGGTTTTCATATTCACACAATATAGAGGTTTGAGAATATACCGTACGGGCAAATTATGACATAAATGATGTATGTCTGTGAGATTGCTGACTAACATTATGCCCAACATTTAACATTTTAAAGATAGTTCTGGAATAATCTCTATAATGTTATTTTGAGAATAAAAAAAAATCCTTTATGCTCCTGGTCATTAGAATTGTCATGATTTAGTCCTAGATATTACTTTGTATACTGCACAAATGTAAAATATATTTGTTATTGAACCTCCAATAATTTCTGAAGTTGTATATGATACACTAAAATGCATTGCTTTAACATTTTATTCCTTAGAAGTGGAAAATCAGGTGACACGGTGAATGGAACTGTACCTATTTCTAAAGGAACTCTAGAGGAAGATCCAGAGCCTCCACAGAAGAAAACCCTAGGTACTTACAGATGTTTGTGGGAATTATCTTTGTTGTGGTGTCATTTGGTTTGTATTAAAAAAGAGAATACATGGCGTTCATCCAATCTCACTTATTTGCTTGCTAGTTACCCCTATTGCAGAAATGTTATTCATATTTGTGTTTCAGTTTCCAGTTTGAGTGAGAAGATGTGCTTAAGGTTAGACATTGTAAGGCACTTTCATGATGCTGACCATGGCAATCAAAACTTCCTATAATAGATGTTGGGTTCTTTTAAGCTGTCTGTGAAAGTCATACCTTGGAGTTTCTAGTCAGCCATCCTTTCTAGTCTCTTTATGAGAGAGCCTGGTGTCTTTTGGAGCATGCTGACCAGAGACCCCGTTGCCTCCCCTTGTTTTTATGTGCACTTTAAGACATTCTGTTGTTCTTCTTGTTTGTTGTTTACAGTATCTTCTGGAAAAGTGGGGCCATCCACAAAAACGAGCTCCCAGTGTTTTCCATTTTTCGTATTTCATGCAACGTGTGAGAGCATTAAATAAGATAGCTTTTCTGTAATTAGGAAGTTTTTCGTGTGTTTCTGGTTCAGTCTTGATCTAAACATAGATTTGTACTACCAGCAAATCTTCATTGTTTAGATTCCCTCCTTTAGTTGTCAGGTTACTCTTGTGGTCTTTTCCATATATACCGACCCTACACACGGGCGGTGCGGTTAATCGCCCCCAGTAAAACCGTAAAAAGTGAGTTAGCGGTTTGTGTTAATGCCCCCCCCCGAGCAGCCACGTTCGAAGACCGGCGGAAAGAGAACTTCGACCGGGGCAACGCGGAGCTGGAGAAGCGGCGGCAGGCGCTGCTGGAGCAGCAGCGGCGGGAGGAGGAGCGCGCGGCCCAGAAGGCGCGGGAGGAGCGGGAGCGGCGGGAGAGGGAGGCCTGGGAGCAGGAGCTGAGGCGGCGGCAGGAGCAGGAGCGGCGGCTGGAGAGGCAGCGCGAGCTCGAGAGGCAGAGGGAAGAGGAGCGGCTCAAGGAGCTGGAGCGGAAGGAGGCAAGGGGGCGGGGGGGGGCTTCTTTCTTTTAAAGTACAAGCAGATAAAAATGACATAGGTGGTTCCACCTGTAATTTATCAGTTAGGCCTTAGATTGGGAAACCCGATCGTAATACATCTCAGTCCTGTGTCAGTCCTGATCAGTGTATTTGTGTCTCTTTTCATCGTGTACTGTACTCCCAGTTGTAGACACAAATGGGAGTCCTTACCCTTCATACCCATTTAATTTTAGTATTAGAACAAGTACTAGTGTTAATATTGCTGGGCCTCTGGGCACATTATTATTAACGCCTGAGACTTGCAACAAGTCTACATTCCTCAGGCAGCTGTTTAGTATACGCTAAACATTACTGGTGGTTTCTGTAGAAGGCAAGGGTCCCTGCCTTAAGAATTACCAGAGTGATAAGCTTTTGGTTCATTTCTTACATTGTAGAATTTCCTCTATTTTCAAATACACTATACTGTATGTTAGAGTAGTGCTGTAGGACCTAGGGGTGACTTATACATTACAGTCTGTAGTGTAAATCTTTTTTCGTTTATTTTCAAATCTATTGTCGTACTGGCCAAATTGGGAATTAATATTTAAAGATTTGATGCACATCTAGTCTTGACAGCTCCTGTATACTAGAAGATGGCACTTTGACAGATCTCCTGATGTCAAACTTTGATCTTTAGCAAAGACATCCACGCTATTTAAGTTTCTAATACAAAGCTTCCACAACATTATATAGTCTTTGTGTATTGCTCCAGTCCACCATAATGAAAACAGGAACAAATACAGAGATGTGCTATGATAGTGGTTTTTCTTTCAAACTGTCACTGAACCAGAGATCATGCAGCATTATTGTACTTTAATGGATACATCAAAACGATTGAGGGTGTATACAACATTAAATATTAGTATTATTTTATGTTGAAAGAGTGGAATTTGAATGAAGGAATATGTATTGCTTGTGAACTCTTATTCCTTGAAGAATACGTTAGATAGAGGACATCTCTGGTGCTACCGTCAAAAGGGGCCCGCCTTGTGGTTGAAGTAGTTGTAGTGGTGGAACTGTTCACCTGAGTGGGGACTGAGGTCTAAGATCCAGGTTTCGCAGGTTAGACCTCAAGTGCTGACTCTCTAGCACACTGTGACCAGGATTTGCCAAACTGGGGAATCTCAGCCAATTGTACTCCACTGGGGGTAGAGTGGGAATTGCTGGCCAGGGTTCTTGATAAACACATAAGAACATCAGATTAGTGACCAATAAAAGGAGGACATTTGGGCCATTTCCCCATTGGTTGTTCATCAACTTATCCAAAAATCACATCCAACAGCTTCTTGAAAGAAACAAGGGGATCGGCTTGAACGTTATGGCTGAGCAGCGTCCACGCTCCCACAACCCATGGGACAAAGACGTGCCTCATGTTCTCCGTTTTAAATGCACTTTCACTTATGCTTCCACTTGTTTCCACACGTTTGTGTTTCACTTTTCATTCTGTCAACACAGTGACCCCTGCTGCCTCCCAGGTGCTAGCAGGTTGCAGCGCTGCTGCTTAGGAATGTGTTACTCTTTCAGATGGCGCTGAATCGCCGCTGCAGATCTGTGCTTCCCGCGAGCTGTTAAAACAACTGGCTCGTGGACATGTGGGTCAGAGGAGGTTGCCGACACGTTTTCGTTAGCTCCTGCCTGTGGTTGGAGCACTTGTAGCCATGAGCTGAGAAATGTGAAAAACACAATTTGTAATTCCAAAATCGTGTGTGTAAAAGAAAGAAGGTGTATATTGATTTAAGGAAGACCAGTAATGGAACGGCAATTCGTCTCTCCTTACCTGCAGAAGGCAAAGCAGGAGCTAGAGCGCCAGCGCAAGCTGGAATGGGAGAAAACTCGGCGGCAAGAACTTCTGAGTCAGAGGAACCAGGAACAGGAAGATATTGTCAAGCTGAAGGCCAAGAAGAAGAGCCTGGAAATGGAGCTGGAGGCTGTGGTCAGTGGACAGCCCTCTCTATTGTCTTGAGGCTGACATGCCAGATTAATATACGTCTTTCTTTTTTATAAATGTAGGAATTTTTTAACACCGTCTTGGTGTTTGATTAATATGATCATTGTACCTTTCTCTCTATCCGTAATGATAGGTCTATGGCAGGGCAAAGCAGACACACCGAACTTAGTCTGTATTATTAAATTGACTAAAAACATAAAAATCAAGCATAATATTTGCTATTAGTTGGTTATGCATTCGTTTTAGTCATCCATTATGCATGCAGTCTAAACCCCATACAAACCCTCCATATTGTAAGTTTTGGGTAGCTCCTGAAGGGTCATACATGAATAGAGTGAACTGTACAGAAAGACCATCCACTGTACAGTATTAGTTGTTTTTTTCCATAGATAAATTTTCGGCACTACCTGAAAATATAGTTTCAGCCTTGTTTTGTGTCTTTCCCAGGGTGACAAGCACAAGCAGATTTCCAACCGTTTGCATGAAGCTCAGAGCAAGAGGAAGATTCAGAAGGGTGAGCTGGATCTCACCAATCAGAAGTGGGACCGTCGGATCATGGAGATCAATAACTTGCAGCAAGAATTTGAGGTTTGATATCAGTCATATTGTCATATAAAGAAGAGCCTCTCCAGAGAGCTTTGTGTTTTTGGATGCATTTATAACCTTTTAAAAAAATAAAATAATTGGCCATAATTGGTACATCAAATTTCCATAAAAAATACATCAGAGCTTGCATGCATTAGCTACAAGTATAAGCTTAGTTGGTGTCAAGGTGACAAAATATGAGCTGGCCAATTGGGTCAATCACCTGATTTTTAAAGAGCTGATATGGCTGGCAGTTAAAGAAGCAGTGGAATTGTACTCTTTTCCTTTGCTGCTGTTATTGCATCCATATAAAATAGGAGCTGGAAGCAAATTTCTGAGGATGTATCATGAATTTAAAAGTTAACAGTGCACTAATTTATGGAACGTTACAAATGGCTTTGAATGTTACTGTTACATGTCTTCATTCGTTGAGAGTTTAACTTCCACTTTACATTAAAATGAGGTTTAAGAAATGAGTTCGGGAAAGACTTCATATCTGTAAAGCAAATAATGTGAAGAAGCCGTAAAGAATCACATAAAAGGAAACGGTAAGATGCCTCAACATAGATACATATCATCAATTCCTTCTCTATAAAGATTTAACTTTTTTAATTGAATGTTTCACAGTCACATGTGTCTCACAGTAAATCCTGGTGTGCAAGGACTTGAAAAAGCAGTTTCTTTACCGAGTTTGGTAGAGTGTCTACAGTATTTCTGCAGTTTTGATTTTTATATACTAGCACACGCAAGACAAAAGGGAAAAGGTGGGTGGCACAGTGGCGTTGTGATTGGCATTGCTGCTTTTTAGCGCTGGTCCAATTCCTGGGCTGCTATTTGTTAGAGTTTGTATGCTCTTCTTGTGTTTGTGTGGGTTTCATCCTCATACTCATTGATTAATTGGCTTCTGGGAAAATTGGCACTGGCGTGAGTGTGTCTCTGTGTGTATCCAGCAATGGACTGGAGTCCTGTCCAGGGTGTATCCTGCCTTGCACCCATTGCTTGTCGGGACAGCCTCCAGGTTCCCGACAACCTTGTATGGGATAAAGTGGTTACAAAATGGATGGATGTAGGTACATTGCACAAAAGTATGTGGTCTGATTTTGACTTTGATATTCTTAGCAAATAGCTAATAATGATGACACAGATCTTCAGCAGATATGGTGAATAGGAGTTCATTTTTAGTCAATCTGAAAAAAAAAGCACTGGTGAAATAGTGGATCTTCATGATGACAGCTGTATATCCCGTCATTTTCCATACAGGGAATACACTAATTGGGCAGCATTTCAGCTTCCAAGACTATAAAGACCATGTGCACAGCTTTTAATCTTGCATTTTTTTAAATTATTTTATTTTAAATTTCTAAATTTTGAATATTAAAATAATATTATTGTTTTCATCTATTAGAAATAAATAATTATGTGCACCTGCAGTATCTATTAATTAAACTGCACACTGCCTTTATATTGTTTCCATGCAAAATTGCTGTCTTCACCACTATCTTTATTATTACTTGCTCTGCAAAAGCCCTTATGTAGTGGTAATTTTCTTCTAGTAAAATTATGAAAACAAGGGAAAAGTATGCACTGGAATTCCATGACTAGTGGAATGACTGTAAGGCTTGCATTAGCTGGAGGTGCAAAACAAGTGCTACTTAAACAAATGAAATAGGAAGGCTAAGACTGTATAGAGGTAGTGTGGATACAGAACAGTAATGTAAACATCCTGTAGCTGTATACACTTTGTTTATAATGAGTAGGTATAAAGAGCAGGTTACATTACTAGTATGATAATTAAAAACAATGTAATGTGATACTGTATAGTATCTGTTGAAGGATGCTAATAAGTGCTAAGAGATCACAAGTGACAGCTTAACGATGAGGCTTGAGCCGTTGTGGAAAGGTAGCCAGGGACTGAGTTGTTGTGATTTCTGTTGGTAGTACATTTGCATTAGTCACAGGATACTGATTGATGAACAAAGGATGTAGCCTATATAATGTGCTTACTTTAATCAAAATAATGCTCCAGTATACAGCTGTCTATTTTTACTTACTTCCGTACAGTATGTTTTATATTACTATGGATGTTACTGTTTTAAAAGCTTACTTTATTGAAGTACCTTTGGTAAAGGAAATTTACAGTATTACAGTATGTTACTAACCACTGTTAATTAGTGTGTCAGGTTATCTTTCTTATAGAATTTCCTTTTGTTCTTTAGGATTATCAGAAAGAGCTCTCTCGGCTTGTTCCAGAACAACAAAAGCTAAACGACAAGCTTAGGAACATGAAATCAAGCGGTTTCCAAAGTAAGCATAATCCACATCGTGTTTTTTGGAATATGTAAGTAAAAAGTAAAGGGCCAATGAAATATACTACATCTAACAATATGTCCTGCAGCCACCTTACATGTAACCATTTTCGAACTGACTGTACCATAAAGTTAGCCAAAAGTGAAAACAATTTGCGAAAAATCAAACTCCTATTACAAGAAATTGTATATGGTCAATAAAGTGATTTCTCCTATCTCTCTCTTAAGTATGGATTTTCATTAATTTGCTGTCCTGTGACTTTATAATCTCTGAAAGAAAATGGATTTATTTTTTACAGCTTCAGCAGTGACTACTTTAAAGAAGAATATAACAGAAAAAGATGTCTCATGTCGCAAACTGAAGGAGCAACTGGATGCTTTGGAAAAGGAAACATCAGCCAAACTTGCTGAAATGAATCAATTCAATAAGGAATTCAAGGTATGATTTCAAATTATGAAAAAGAGGTGCACGAGAGGCAATACTTTGTGTCTTCAGTTTCTCTTCTTGCTGTATAAAAGTCTTTGTTTCCCCCACTGTTCTTTTTTTTATCAATGAAAAGATTTCCGTTAGAATTTGAACTGTATCCCTTTCTTATAACTCCAACGCTATAGGGCTTAATAACAGTTGTCTCGGCTCCTGCTTCAAATGGATCTCTTCCCCATTTGAAACAGGAGCCTGTGGTGAAGAAGCCAAAGACAATTGAGTACAATATATCAATCTTTAAAAAACACTTGTACATAAAGTAATCTTAATATTAAAGGGATCAAGGGATCTATGTACATACATATGGTTCTGTAGCAGTAAAAATATTGGGTTTAAAAATTATTGATTTATGTCATTTTCTTTACATGCTTCTTACAATAAAACCACATGTTGTAGCAGAACTGAAGGAGAATTTTAGAAACCCTTATACAAAGTTGACGCCTTAAAGCCTCATCCAAGAAGAATATTAACTTCTCAGCTGAATAGGGAATAGGACCATCAGTCACCATTCCATTGTTAACAGCACATGAAACTAATCAGTAATCCTGCAGATGTCTCTGTCTGGTTAACATGCTACTTGATCCCTTTACTCTCTCTTCCTTCCTTGCCATTTTTACAGTTTGAGGATATGGATGACTGCGTCCTTCAGTGCCTTCTTTCTTTGCTGGGCTGTCTCAGCAATCTCTTCCTCTTAATTAAGGTTATTTTATATTCTTTTCTTATTTTGTGTTCCTTTCCATTCTGCGTTATTAAACCCCGTTTTTGCTAATTTCTTTCAACCTTGTGTGACTATCATTCCATCATAAAAAAACAATATATAATCCGTTTTCCTTGAGATATTGTTGATGTTTCTCTTCATTGCTTTTCATTGCTTGTATTCTGTTTTCTGAATTACTGCCTCACCTACTAATATTTGTAAAGAATCTGAACATGGATCTTCAAGACATGAGACAAATTTAGAATTCCTCTGTCTTGTCAATAATTGTATGTGCTTAAAATACATTATAAGCTTTCCAAAATTCTTTTTATAGAACAAAATCAAAATAGATATTTTTCACAACAGTTGGTGAGTGCTGTTCTTATCTCTGAGTTGAGCACCAGAATACCATGTTTTTTTTTTTAGGTTAATGGAATCAATTTTCTTGAGTTCTTGCCTTTCCTGTTCCCAGTGAGTTTAAAGGAAAGCAATATAAATACACACCAGGCTGGCAAGAACGCAAGAACATAAGACATTTTTCATTACTTTAATTGTCGGTAAAACAGTCCCTTGCCTGTTTTCTTTCCATTATGTGGTGAAAGGGTAGTTTGATAAAGAATGAGGGTTTGATTTTTCCAGGAGCTCCGTGACAGCCAAAACAAACAGCAGACTGCCCTAGATAAGCTCTGCAAGATCAAAGAAGAAAAAATCAAAGAATTGCAAAGGCGCAAAGAGCAAGAACTGGAGAGGAAACAGAGGGAAGAGGAGGAAGCCATCAGGTGATCCTTCTGTCCTTTAATTTTAGAAAACAGGTTTTAAAAAGGAGAGAGTGTGGGCCTCCCTAGTGGCTTAACTGATACAGTAGCTTGTCTGCGCGCAGGTTGAATTCTTTTATCCAGAAGCTGTGGGTTTGAGATTGGGTCCTGTTACTAGCTTACTGTGACTGGGACTCCCAAGGTGGTGCTGCATACCTGGTGTGGTGTGCGTTTCCATGGTTATAGTGGGAAGCGTCCGTCCGTTTTTTCTCCGCTAACACTGGGACCTCTGCATCCTCCCGGTGTGCTGGCAGTTGGAGAGGTTGGGATGTGCCTGTCTTCTGTTAAGTGTTGAACCTCTGGTACGAAGCTGTGATGCTTGGGATGCACTTAAAGATGAGTGGTTCGATGGCGTCAGAGGAGTCCGTCTATTCTTCCTCATATATTAAGTAAAATATTATGCATGGACAAAACCTGAAAACTAACATTATGGTGTGCAAATCTTTATTATTAATGTAGTGAAGAAATAAAACTTTCAAATATTATTATTTTATTTTACTTTCTTGTGTATTCTTATTCTTGTACTCACTGAAGTAGAACAAAACTCAATATATTATAAGCAGACAGTGATGTTGGTGAGTCAACTAGTACAGTATGTACAGACATTTTAAAGTTTTTTGTTCAGAAATGGACAGTAGATAAAATAAAATAGTAACAGAAAATAACAAAATAATATTAAAAGTTTTATGTATTCATAGTTTCTGATTTCTTGTTTTAACTTGTTCTGGCATGATATAGTAAACAGATAATACTATTATTGGAAAATCTTGGAGATACTCTTAACTGCAAGACTACATCTATGGTAACTGCTGCAAAATCCTTATGCTACTTGAAAAATATTACATCCTGGACAGGGAGCTGAAGGAGCTCAAAAGATTTCAAGAAACTAAAGAAATTACAAAACCAACTTTCAGTCACTTTCACAGAAATGTGCACCCTGAATTGTCGGAGAAACAACAAATGGAAATTGAGAAGCTGGTCTCAGGTGGTGACAGGAAATAAAATTTGGCACTCCATCCCAACTTCACCACACAATAATACATTAAAAACAACCAGGACCAGGCAGCCAGAATGCAGGAGCTGAAGACAATAGCTCCTAGGACACCATCATAATGGTCTCTGTGTGACACTGGCTTACAAATTAGTGCCAGTACTGTCAACATTTTTAAATGTTAAGTGGTCATCATTGGAGAAGTAGCTGATATCATTCACAGAGTAGAGAGACTCCCTAGTCTATGGAGATACAGATTTTCCTTCTGTAGCATATTGAAACATTTTGGAAACAAAACAAAGAATGTGAAGAAACATGGTCTTCCCAGCAGTCATAACAGTACCAGGCAAAGGAAAATGCAAAGTGTATGGTGTGTAGAAGACATCGTGCCATCTTGAAGACTGGAAACGTCACATGTCGAAGGCCAACTGTGTAGACTTGATCATTGTATCTGGATAAAATGGGCACAAGTAGTCTTAGCATGATGATCCACAAAGACACCAGTAACATCTGTACTAAAATGGAAAGTGGTAATTATGGTGTTAATGAAATCACAAACATGGCTTAATGATGAATGCAGCAATAGTAGATATACTGGAGTGATGTAGCATTATTTGTTAAAAGGAGTTTTCAGATTATGAATTAATGTACAAAATAATTTGTTTTTTTTGAGGACTTCCTTACACTCCATATAGTCTAGAAAAAAATATAGAATCTTATAGAAACTGCGAATGTCTGCTTCAGAAACTGAAATGGTAGTTGTGGTTATTAATGCAATTATTCATCCTGGCTTTTCAAACAAGACAGTGAGATGAATACAAGTGATAGAATCATTAGCAAACTGTGATCAGAATATGATATGCTTAGAAATATATTTTGAAATTGTATGGGTAGAGTCAAAATGAAAAGCCTACAATTTCAGTAAAGCAAAATTTGCAAGAAAGAGACAACAAGGATATATGGAATCAGTGGATAATGATGGATGTGTCCCAAGAATGAGTAAATTAAAAAGCTCAAGAAATAGTATTTCATGAACAAATACGTCTGGGAAAATCTAAGGGAAAAAACACCACAGTATCCAGTAAAAGAAAAGGAGCACAGTGATTTGCCAGGGGCAAAATAAAAAGGATACTGGAATGGCCCTGAGGGATGGAAAGAAATATTGCTGTGAAGGTAAAATAAATAAAAAAGATCATTTCTGCACAACAACAATTAAACGAATGTGAAGGATTATCTGAAGCGTATCTGGGACAATCATGTAAAACTTCTAATGAAAAGGAGAAGGCTGAGTAAACACTGAATAAGTATTTCACTTGGGTGTTCACAAAAAAAAAGTAAATAGGCATAGAACAGGCAAAAGTGTTTCCTATAGGGACCCTAAGGAATACTCAACAATTAGATTAACTAATTTGTTAATTTCTTCAAACAAGCAACAATGGCAAAGAATGTACACAGAACCTGATAGATATGGTGAATTTAGATTTTCAGAAGGGTATTGATATAAAAGAAGAATTCTCCAGTTATATAGGTAGGCTTTTGGAGAGGTATGAATGTTTGGACTGATATTTGATTAATGCAAAGCATTATATATAAGACAAGAATGATCAAACTGATGTAATTAATGGAGTACCTCAGGGATGTGCACTAGGAGCACAATTCTTCCTAAATTAGGGTGAATTATCTGGATTCTGGTATAATTAGTATACTAGACAGGTTTGCAGATAAAACCAAATTGTTAGGAGGATTAGGTAACGTGGGGAAGCAATAAAAAAGGCAAACTAATTATTGATAATTCCTTATATTTAGTGCTTTTCTGGACACTCCACTCAAAGCATTTTACAGGTAATGGGGACTCCCCTCCACCACCAATGTGTAGCACCCAACTGGATGATGCAACAGCAGCCATAATGCCCTAGTAAGCTCACCAAACACCAGCTACCAGTGGGGAGAAAAACAGGCTGACAAATTCATAGATAGGGATTATTATTAGGAGGCCATGATTGATTGATAAAGGCCAATGTGAAATATGTCCAAGACACCTGGGAAAACACTTTTTGTAAAACGCCCTGGGATTTTTAATGACCACAGAGAGTTAGGACCTTGGTTTTACGTCTCATCCAAAGGACAGCACCTTTTTACAATATAGTGTCCCTGTCACTATACTGGGACATTAGGACCCAGACAGACTGCAGGGTGGGCACCCCACTACGGGTCCCACTAACACCTCTTCTAGCAACAACCTCAGCTTTGGCAGGAGGTCTCCCATCCAGATACTGACCAGGCTCACACCTCCTTAGAGTCAGTGGATTGCCAGTTGCCAACCCTTATAAAAAAAAAACAACCTTACTAACCTCTTCTGGTTGTTCAAGATATTAAATATAAGTATAAAACAGTAAATAAAAGTAAATATAATAAAAGTAAATAAGACAACTGTATAGGCTCACTAACTAGCTCTTGTAGGTGTGCTTGACAAATGTTTCAGAGAATAAAGCATTTCTTCAATATTGCTTATTTTCCGGAGCCAACCACATGAGGCTGTGCCCACGTGAGTTCCGCGTCGACTGTATTAAAAATCCTCCAAGGCCTTGAGGAAGTCAACCCAATGGACTTCTTCAGAATCAACAGCTAAAACATGGAGTGTGGGAGTGTGTTTAAACCTCCTTTATGAAAAGGGCTTTGGAAGAACAGAACAAACTATCCAGCTATTTCCTTGAAGCTGATACTATGGCATCCATTAGCTACCATGGGCTAGATGGTCCAAATAGTCATTTCCTGTTTGTAACCTCACATTTTTAAAACACATCTCACATTTTTAAAAAGTCAAGACACGTTCTTCAGAACAGGTGTTCCTCAACAAGGGGGAAAAAGCAAAAATTATTCAGCATTTTGATAGCTGAGTTTTGACTACTGGTTTGATTGTTTTTTGGTGTTCAGCTAAAACAAAGTGATTTGCTACATCCTTGCACATTCTTTTCAATGAAAGCCCGATAGCTGTACAAACAGATATTTTGTTAGCAAGGAGTAATTTCTTTGGTTTAAAGAGCAGTGACATTAGGCAGATGGAAAACAAAATTTTGACTTTGATCCCTGCGTAGCGTGTCTTGCAGGTTCCTGAGCAGGAAGTCTCCCCCAGATGTTTGCCTGCTCAATCCCTGTCTGTTTTTGTCTGCACAGGAGAGCCAAGCTGGAGAAGGAGAGGCTGTGGCAGGAGAAAGTGAAGCGCGATGAGGAGGAGAGGCAGCGGAGACTGCAGGAGGAGAGGCTGCAGAAGCAGCGGGAGGAGGAGGAGCAGGAGGCCCTGGCCCGGCAGAGGGAGGCCGAGGAGGCCGCCGAGAGGGAGCGGAGGGCAGCTGAGGAGAGGAAGAGGAGGGAGAGGGAAGAGGAGCAGCGCAGAAAAGCTGAGGAGGAGAGGCGGAGGGAGGAGGAGAGGCGAAGGGAGGAAGAGAGGAAGAGGGAGGAGGAGGAGAGGCAAAGGGAGAAGGAGAGGAAGAGGGAGGAGGAGAGGAGGAGGCAGGAGGAGAGGGAGAGGGAGGAGGAGAGGAGGAGGCAGGAGGAAAAGCGGCGGCGCGAGGAGGAACGGAGGCTAGAAGAGCAGCGCAACAGGGAGGAGGAGGAAAAAAGACGGCAAAGAGCAGAGGAGGCCGCAGTCAGGGATGCTGAGGAGAGGAAGAGACAACAGCTCCAGGAAGAAATGTCCAGGAAGCAGCAGCAGCAGCAGCAGCAGCAGAACTCCGAGCCATTTACCAGCACTAAGATTGACATTCATGAGAAACTCTCCGCCCTTCTGAAGGGTATTGACGAAAGGCAAAATTCTCGGAAAGGTAAGGAAGATGGCATAATCATAAAAACATACCTAACTATTAGAACCAGAATTTTCAGCATCACCCTTAAATGTACATTTGAAATGAGCAAAAACTGCCATTGAAAGATCTGCTTTGGTTCTTAGTCAATGTTTCCAAAATCTCACAACTGAGTGCTGAACAAGACCTCTCCTTATTACCTTTTCCCCAATATTTTAATGTAAAAGCTTTCAGAAATATAGTTCATTATGCTGATATGTGGACCTTGTGTAAATTTAGAAACTAGGTTTGACTGTGTGTTAAGTGGTCAATAAAAAGCATAAAAATGAAATTAAGTAAAAATGCAGAACACAAATGAAAGCATTATTAATGGAGCACCTACTGTAATACTTACTAGTACATTCAATATGGTTTCAGGGACAAGGCCTGTGAGTAAAGGACACCGGAAATCGGCATTTCTTGTGACCTACAGAGCTCTCTATCCCTTTGCCGCAAGAAATACTGATGAGCTCACCTTTGAAACAAATGACCTAATTGAGGTAGGACTTATTTCATTCTTACTTCACATTCTGTGTTCATATACTTGTTACATGGAAAAGAAGTTAAGCTGCCATTTTGACTTAGCTTTTACAATGATGGATGAAATAAATTTAGGAGTCCTACTCTGTGGGATTACAACCCAATCTAGAAAAATGTCACAGGGAGTAGTGGGGGCTGGGACTACTTTTACGTGGTTGTCTTTGCAGCATTCTCTGCCAAGAATGATATGGACCTACTTCAAGAGAATTCATATCCAGTGATTGAAAACATTTTTTTTGTAAAACATTGACTGTGTTCATTCTACATCATCCTCATCTGAAAACAACCAGAGAATCACCACAAGATAGGAAGTGTTCCCCAAAAAATCTTTTTTGAGAAGAAAGTTCTGAAAATAATTGTATAATATTTTAAAATTTACTTATTGGCATTAAAAATGTAACAAATGCCATTGACATCATAACCTTGAATGCTTGATGGCATTTGTTCTGGATCTGCTAGATCCAGGAAACCTTAGTTACGTTGCTCAGAAAACCCTGACAACAGACTGAGGATAGTAGGATCCTAAACTTCAGCTTTGCAGAGACTGTTCATAATCTATTACCACTGAAATGTCTTGATTTGATTAATATTCACTCTCTTTGCTATGATGCTGCAAATCAAGTCTAAATGCATCTTATTTCCTTGGTAGCTCACGCTAAAACTTGAACGGTGTCCATCTGTTCAATTGGTTGACATGATTTTAGAAGAAATTAGGTCCTTCAGTTGACAGTGCATGTCAGAGCAGGAACTCTACCGTGAACTGTCTATGCAACTCAGTGATGGGGTTGTGAGTTGTAAATTGTGAGGAGGCATAGATCTAGAGAAGGGCATTAAAACTATTTAAAAGTTCTCAACAGCACAATCAGGTCCAGGATTAAAAAGTGGAAAGAAAACGGAACCACCCTGCCTCTTCCTAGAGCAGGCTGTCCTCCTAAACTGACAACCATGCAAGACCTTTAGATGTGACCCACAACCCAAAGACCACTCAGAATTCTTCAGCATTTCGCCTCTATGGGGGAGTGGCTAGATGGAAGCCACTCCTGAGAAATGTCCACATAATAGCACACCTGGCGTTTGCAAGAGGCCATGACCCTGAGACCACACGGAAAAGAGATTCTCTGGTCTGGTGAAATAAAAAATACTTGAAAGGAAAGCGCTCTGCCAGGTGCAAAACAAACAATGCCCATCACCTATGTTACACCATTCCAGTTATGAAGCATGGTGTTGGCATCATCTTATGGGGCTGCTTTTTGGGGCAGGGAATGCTGCACTTTTCAGGATGGAGAAAACTGACAAATAACAGTCATATCCTTGATAAAACCTGCTTCAGTCAGAAAGAGACCTAGATTGTATTGAAGATCCACATTCCAACAGGACAACAACCTCAAATATATAGCTAATGTTACAAGTGAGCCGTTCCCAGCTTGACAGGTCTTACAAATCTGCAAAGAAGAATAGTCAAAAATCCCCAATATACAGATATACAGGGCTGGAAGTCATAACCAAGAAGACTCAATGCTGTAATTGCCGCAAAAGGTGCTTCTACGAAGTATTGATTCGGGTGTTATCTCAGTTAATGAGATTTCCACTTTTCATTTTTCATAATCGTTTGTTACACAAAAAGTATTTTTGCCCCTTTACATTGTGTATGAATCAAGGAAAAAATATTTCTATGCATTAAAAATCTGGTCTTAACATCTATACTTGGAATTGTTTGGGGGAGTCATGTGCTGTGCCTTAAAGTTATTTGTTGCAGTAAAAGAGAATTGTGGCAACTAAGAGAAATAAGTAACTTTGTACTATATTTTATGTACTATAAAGACACATACACTGGTTATATTTTTAAATAAGCTTACTGTATGATCGTTAAAAAGTATATTATTTTTAAATCCCTGCTACACTTAACGTATGTGTGGATAATAAGACACCTGGGAAATGCTAATGCTGATATTAATAAACCTTCCCAAATGAATAATCCTACAGGTTGATGAGACAACTAAGGGGGAGCCAGGCTGGCTCTATGGCAGTCACCAGGGACGTACAGGATGGTTTCCAGAAAGCTATGTGGAAAAGCCAAGTAATAATGAAACACCCTCCGTCGCCAAACAGGACACACTGCCTCAGAACTCAGCCATTTCTTCTACCTCAGTCTTCTCTGGGTATGCTGGTTTCTTCAGGAGTTTTTTTTTAAATAGCAAGCATGCAAACAGACTGATGTGTGGACCTTGTTCTTTTTTCAAGTTCTTAAACAGAGGTTTAAAAGAGATCGTAAAACCCTTCTTTACAAAAAAAGCCTATCAACTTTCAGTAGTATACTGTAAATTGTTTACCTACCTTTTCCCTTATTAGTACATTTTACGTTCCTTGAATTCTCCATTAGCTTTTTTATGTGAAGCACATTGAGATTCATATTGAGCAATGAAAGGTGTTGTATAAATGAACTGTATTATTATTTGATTAAGTTATTTTTAAATGGTCATATCTCTGTATAATTGGTTGAATGACAGATAGTTTGTGCACAGTGATGATAGCACCGGGGTCCAGAGATTGGTTCATGTCTGCCCACGTGTTATTACATTGCCACAGGTTCCATGATATTGATGGTGCCTAATATGTTCATTAGCAATAAATACGTTTTATGGAGACCACCCTGGTGGACATCAGTGAGTGTGGCGATGATATGCAGACTGGTAAAATGCAGAACACTCTGGGTTGGTCCAAGTGTGATTTTAAACCAGGAGAGTGTAGTTTCTACAGAATTCTTTAGAATTGATTGATGGCAACCTTACTGCATGATGCTACATTAAGTACTGGGACCTCACCCACCCCACTTCCTGGGGGGTTCATTGTGATGTGTCAATATTTCACAGATTAAAGAACATCCTCTTGCTGCTTGTGTAACAACTGCTTTATTACAAGACGAATATCTACTGTTAATTTCATGATAGACCCTGTCACTGACAAATATACATCAGCTTAATGAATTTACCTGTGTCATGCCTGTTCAATAAACTGTAAGCGCACCACCTACAAAAACGGTTGTCATTTTCCCAATAATAACCTTGTGAATGTGTTGCAGTTATTTTGTTTTGATGCTCAGCATGCTTTAGATACTGAAGCTGTTTGAAGATTATGCAAACTAGGTAAAGTTATTTTTGTTTGTTAATTCAACGTACCATGATACATCAAAAGATGTTTCAGATATCTGCTAGTGCAAGGCTACACTAATTTTTCTTATCATTTGTGTGTAATGAAGCTCATTACAAAGCTTTTTTTTTTTTGCACTGCCTTTCAAGCCCTTGATGTTAAGAGGAGAAATAACAGGTGTCCTCTTTTTTGTCTATCAAGCAAATCTGAGGAGGAAGCCGGTTCCCAGCAGAAGCTAGTATCTGGCGTGGTGGGACAGAACTCTGCTTTCACTCCGACCCACTCTCCGGGCTCTTCGTCAGCTGATCGTGGACGGGTAAGCATGAAGGAGAAGCATGTTCACCTTCTTCCAACTTTCTTATTCCTGTACCTCATGAGTGTACTGAAGAAAGCAGAGAACATTCTTTGAAGTCTGAACAAGTTTGTAAGAAAGTTCACAACTGAAATGTGAACAGAATCTTAAAATAGTTTAAAAAAAAATCTTCTCAAAGTTTCTCAGCTACGGTTCTCATGGCCCTGATGTTATCATCTTTCTCCTTCAGCCTCAGGCCTTTACTTCATTGAGCTATATTTACCAGGACTGGGCGTTGTTTTAAGAATGGGTTATTTTCAAATGTTTCAAAAACATTTTGTCTGAGTTTTAAGTGTTATTTCAGATTTGGTCTTATGAAAGTAGTTGAGAGCCTAAGTGGCACAGAAGCTTTCAGAGGGAGGCGGCAGGGATTAATTTTGCTTTTCAGCTTGTATTTGTGTACACAGTATGTCTGCTTTCGTTTCCTAGTGTGTGCTTTGCAGCAGGTTTCCCTATTAAGTTGCTTTGGATTGTTCTCTATCCCTCAATTGCATGTTAAGTGTTAAATACAGGATGACAAATGGTCAGGTATTAGGGAGTGATCTGTGCATTGCCTTTCAGTGTATATTTGATTATGAGTGCTCTCATGTGGGTTTGGGAGGCCAGCTGTAGTAGGGAAAGCAGTTACAGGTGCCTAGCCTTAAAGGCCTCTATTGTCTGTCTATATAGTAGGTTCGCATGAGGTGCAGTATTTGTTTAATTAGTTCATTGGTGGAGGGCTAAGAGACACAATTTCACATGTGGTTAATTTAGACTGCTACAATAGGTGTATAAAGGCACTTCTGGTGATAGTGCTGGGTAAGTCTTGTTTTGGGTGTACAGTAGGCGGTGTGCAGTACAGTAGTTGGCGGTGTGAAGATTGCTGTGTACTATATTTTTGCTGTCCAATGTGATTTCCTTGTGCTGAGGTCCAATTAGCAACTTATCAGTAGGGAGATGTTCAAGTGGGGACCTGTGTCAGCTTGTTCTGCCTACAAAGGAACAAGTACAGGTTAATTCCACACTAAAAAATAGATAGGAGAAACACAGTGTTTTAAATGTTGGGCCTTTGTCAGGTGTCAATAAGGAGGCCTGGCATATTAGGGTTGTCAAGTCTGCGCTTCTTTAAATAAAATGCCAGTCCATGATACAGTGCATAAAAAGGAACATGAGGTATGTATTGCTTGTAGAATCTATCTGAGTTGTTTGCCCAGTGTGAACCAACTGTAACACTACAAAATGCACAGTCAACACAAGGCAAACAACCAGCTCCCTTCTGCCTGACTGTAGTGCATTGGCTGGAAACATTTTACATGAATACCTCCGCAACAGTGAGAAAAGACCTGACAATCTGATTAAACTAAAATGAACAATTTTCAGATTGGATCAAAATGCAGAAGACCAATTTTCCTAGAGACTAATTTTCCTCTGTGACTTAGTTAGGATGACATTAGACACACCCATTTTAAGAAATGGATTAGCCCAGTGTTTTTCTCATCAATAATCTTGTTACTATTTCAACTAAAATTTGATTTTGTATTTTATATATATAATATATACCTGAAGGCTCACACCTGAAGAAAGCTTCACAGCTGAAACGTTGTGTTTTCTCTCTTCTCTTTTCAGCATGGAATAAACCTATTACTTGTTCCTTTGCAGACTATGCATGCTGGCGCAGCTACCCACCTGAACTACTTTGATATATATTATATGTTTTCTTTTTTCAATTTAAACTCAAGTGAAACCAAAATCAGGTTTCCTCTTTTTGCACAACCAATTTATTAGACCTTTAGTGTTTATTGCTGTATTTGTTTTCCCCTCCCTGTGTTTAGGTAGTTACTAACTTTCAGGCCCAGGCTCTCTGCTCCTGGACTGCAAAGACTGACAATCACTTGAATTTCTCTAAAGACGATATCATAACAGTGACAGAACAGCAGGAGAACTGGTGGCTTGGGGAGCTTAATGGAGTCCAGGGTTGGTTCCCTAAAGATTATGTGAAAGTGCTGAATGCTTCTGATGCACAAAATGAGTAAGTTCTTTATTATAACTTATTATTTATCTTACTGTTATGAAATAATAAAATCATGTGTGCATTAGATACCAGGAAACCATTCTAATGTTTTTCTGATTTCTTTCTTTATAGACCAATTTATGCCTGTGTCGAAGGTTTTGAGATGCCAACAGACCTGACTCAACATGAAGGTAAAAGGCCATTTTCTGTGTAAACTTATATGCAGTCAGAAAAATAAAATTGCATGTACTGTATGTTAACCTCCAAGATATTTTTTGAATGCAGTTAATGTTTGAGATGGAAAATGTCATCGTGTTTATCTTATCGTGTTTGCATATTGTCAACGCCCTTCTGCCTGACTGTAGTGTATTGGATTATATGGAAGTCTCTGGTCTGATGGTGTTTTTAATAACCAGGCAGCGAGACATAATATGGACAGTGCTGATCGTGATTAACAATCAGACTGTATTTGAGAGGAATAACTGTATTACTTTATATAAAAAGATTCAGTTATTGTTTTATTTCCTTTTACAGAGTATGTGGCCCTTTATACATATGAGAGTCCAGAGCCCGGAGACTTGACCTTCTGTGAAGGAGACACAATCCTGGTGACAGAGAGGGAAGGGGAATGGTGGAAAGGGTGCATTGGCGACAGAAGCGGACTTTTCCCCTCAAACTATGTCAAGCCAAAGGAGACTGATGTAAAAAAACTTTTATATTTCTTCGTTGGCATTTGTTATCATAGATCTGTAGTTTAATTTTGAATATAATTATTTTTGTTTTCTTTATATGATTGAAAGTGCAGTCCGGAGTGTCATTTTCATAGTACAATTGGATTGCTTTGAAGTTCAGTCACTTTGTCATGTTACCACCTTGTTGCCTGATTTAATCAGATTTCAGGAGTTAATCAGGGCTGAACCTGGTCACTACGTGGATGGGAGACATCCAAGGAAAACCATGTTTTTGCTGCAAGTGGTGTTGATAGACAAATAAGACTCTTACCACTGGACCAGAATTTTCAAGAGTAATACCCCAGCATAGTAACCGGAGGTGTGATTCAACAAATTGGTCAATCCCATATCACTGTTTCTAAGAGTAGGGTTGTTAACCCCAGTGTCCTGAATGCATTTCTCACTGATCTTTCGCTGTCTGGCATTCAGTTTTCCTGACCTATTGTGTAGTGTGTTTGCTGGTGCATATTGGCTGCTTTGCATCGCCCAAGTGAGTACTGCATTTCAGTCACCAGAGAAATAAATGCATTGCTGACCTCATTCCTGAGTCCCAGGTTGTCATCACATGATTTATGGCCAGCAGACTGTGGATGAAGGAGGAAAGCACATAATCGGTAACACCAACAGAAGTACATACATTCTTATACAACCATATATAGAAGCAGGCTGGAAAGGAATCATGTTGACATGTTCGTGTTTACCGTGTTTTACAAATTTATGACAATGGATGCTAATATCACAAGTACAATGTCACAAGTATGTTCATGAAAGTATTAGAAAAAAAGTCCGAAATGTGATATGTGATGGATTGAAAGTATCAACAAAATCATGAGCGCCACCACCATTACCCCCAACGCAACAGAATTGTAATTAGTGATTTTTTCTTTTCTTAAATAATGCAAAATTATGTAGAAGTAATTAAATAAGATATTTTTACCATGAGTGTTAGAGTTCAGAGTGTTAGGATTAAAAAAGAATACGCATTTATTGTGTTTTCTTGCTGATGTTTTTGTGACTGAAAAAGAAGAGTTACATTAAAGCAGCTCCTCAAATGATCAGTTTCTGGAGTATCAGCAGTCTGTTTTATACATTTGAGCCCCCCCAGCATTTTTAAAGTAGTGCAATTGGACAGTTTTCATTTTTTTCATCAGTTGCGTTTTATAATCCACATTTACAATTCAGAAATTCTACAGTATTAAAACCGTACTGTAAAGGCGTAGGGACAAAATCTTGATTCTAATCAACACGTTGTTGAATTTTCCTGTTCTTGTCTTGTCATTTTATTTTCAGAATTCAGGTGTTGCTGGTAGAACTGGGGCATCGGGCAAAAAGCCAGGTAAATTCCCAGTGTGTCAGTGTTACTAGGTTCACATGTATTCTAAAAGCTGTAAAGGGATAACAGCCCACAGCCTCCTGTTCTTAAGTTGCCATGGTCATGTACAGTACAATAGTCTGGTTGAGTTCAATATGAATATGGGGGAATATCCACAGTAACTGCAAATCCAGAAATTGTTGAAAGGGTTAGATTGTGTGATTTTGTTGTTGTCTTTTATTGAAATGAGAAACAGCAATTATAAAGTGCATGGATTCCAGTGTGTTACAAGTAAATTGTTTGTGATATTCACATGGATCAGAGGAATTCTGTTAGTGTTTTAGCCTGTTGTACTTTTTTATCCAGGAAGATGATGAGTGGACAATAGAGAGCTGTTTGTCAGTGATATACTCTTAGTAAAACCTTCTCACTTTTCCAGTACCAATACATAATACAGTAGTGTCATATTATTGCTCATCAGTTATTTACAAGTTTCCTTTACAATTTCAAATTTCAAACTGAATGAACTTTTGCTGTTTGAACACCTTGTGAGTAGAGATACCAGGTTAAATAGTATTGTGTACCCCTTGTGTACCCCGATTAGGGTGTTTTTTGAAGAACAAGAAAAGATACTTGCTGATGTTCAAGAAGTTTTGAACAGAATTTGGATGTTTGATACACATGAGAAAATTAGTAGTTATCTTGTGCTGAAAACGCTTACATGACTTAATGCCGCACGATGTGGTTAAGGTATTTGTAAAAATGCTTACTCACCCTTTTTATACATTATATTCTCCAATGTTGTATTATAAGCAGATGCATGGTTTCCATGTGCAGATCTGAAACTTGATCTCTTGCAGTGAGTGTTTTGTGTTTGTGGTTTCCAGAGATTGCCCAGGTGACCTCAGCATATACAGCGACAGGCACGGAGCAGCTCAGCTTAGCCCCTAACCAGCTTATCCTCATCCTCAGTAAAAACTCTTCAGAATGGTGGCTTGGGGAGCTGCAGGTTAGTTACATGCAGTCCCTTGTTTTTTAAAATCCAGCTCATGTTCAGCTGGTTAACGTGTGAGGTAGGTTTAACACAGTCAGATAGCTGTAAGCACTGGTTGCTTTTTGTTTTTTTTCTATTTTTGAAACAACTGAAAGTGCAGCTACAACCCCTGTAATACACAAGAAAAAGGGAGCTATATGTTCTCCTCCATTAGTCATTTGTCCTGCTACAGGCTTTACAGTGCCTTACAGATGGACATTCGGGGACACTGTTTCATGGCAAACTTGAAACAGTGACCACTGCTTGCAGAGTCACAGTTTCAAGTCAGCTGACGATATAGACCAAATTCAAGCTGGCAGCCATCTGCAGCATTGGTACAGTATCATCCTGTATTGGAGATGTTGTACATAGGACCTCCTAAATGGAATCATTGTTAGAATAATGTCAGATGTGCTCAAAATTAAAAAAAAGAAACACATCCTTAAAAAATAATTGCATATGGGAATTACAAAATGCATTCTCTAAAATTAATTTTCTTGAAGGTAATGTTATACAGTTTATTTTTTTATTCTCAGGCAAGAGGGAAAAAACGCCAAAAAGGATGGTTTCCTGCAAATCATGTGAAGATTTTGGGCCCAAGCAGTGGCAAGACAACTCCAGCCCCAGCCCCAAGTAAGAATATCTACATGAGGGAGAATTGACTGCGTTTAAAAGGTCTTATGTTAACAAATAAAAGGGGAAAGTATAAGTAGCCAATCAAACAGGGAATGGCATATCAGTTAGAAAGCTCTTCTGACTGACACTGGTAATCCAACTAATAAAACTGAGAACAAGAGTCTGGAACAAGCTCCCCGGCCATGATGTCAAAATCAAAACCCTTGTTCCTCACAAGAAAAGGTTGGATGAGATCATTAGCCAAACAGGCTAGGTATGGTAGTTAGTAGCTATGGATCTGATATCCTCCTCTCTTTTGTAACTGTTCTTATGTTTTTCAGATAAGCTTTATTCTGACCTTTTTGTACATCTTCACAATTGGTGTGTCTTTAGTGTATTAACTTGTTGTGAAATCCCTTGGTTATGATTCTGATTCTGAGTAAAATGTGCGAACAGCTCTTGGTATTCAAAATAAGTGTGTGTATTTATTTAATACATATTCTTTATTATATCCCATATTTGCATTATCCTGTTTTAAGTATTTTTATTTTGACACAGTTTGCCAGGTCATTGCCATGTACGACTATAAAGCAGCGAATGAGGATGAGATGAGCTTCTCCAAGGGTCAGATCATCAACGTGCTCAACAAGGACAACGCTGATTGGTGGAAGGGAGAATACAATGGCATCACAGGGCTGTTTCCAACAAATTATGTGAAGATGACAACAGATTCGGACCCCAGTCAGCAATGTAAGTGAAATGTTTAATAACCTTTCAATGCAAAGTGAACCTCAAGAACAACATAGGAAAGCCAAAGGCTATTCATTTTACTGTATTGAAACCCAGGGTGATAACTAGGATTGTGTTTTGAGGTGCACAGCAGCATCTGAAGCATAGGTATATCATGTTTGTTAATCGCAGGTTTTCAGCAATTAAGTCATGCTTAGAATTTCGTTTTCTGTAGGTTTGGGAACCACAAAGAGAAATCTACACCTTGAGAAATAAATATTTTCACATTTTTAGCATTTGTAGGGTAAATGTACAGTCAACCTGAATTTTCACTAGCTATTAAACACATTTACGTTTTTAAAAAGGGAAGAAAGCTGTTTGCTTAAACTTCCCTGAACATAAGAGAATAACACTGATCAACTCATGAAGAAATTGTTTCTGTGCTTGTTCGTTTGTTTGTTTTTTTTGTCATGGTCCTGCAGCAGAAGCGTATATTTAAAGCAGTGCATTACTTGTAAAAACATTGTTTCACATAAAACTGATATCTGCCTTAATAATGAGTCAAGTATAAAAAAAAAGTGAAATTAAAACAGTGAAGCTTATTTCTGTTGTGAAGGGAAATAATCCAAACAGTGGAAAATGGTCACTTCCATCTGACTGCATATGGACTGTACCTCTTTGAAATAAAATGTCACCAAAGAATACAGTTTATCCATACTTCATATCCATACTTAATGGGTCTTCGGAGAATAAGGAATCAAACTACCCAATTAAAATGATCAAGATTTGAGCCAAATGTTAAAACATGTTCAAGAAAATGAAATAAAACTAAAAACAATAAAGGGCCACTTCTTTTTGTATGTTTGGAAGTGTGAGACCTCTCTTTGACAGGGTTCATGGTCACTCTCAGCTGCTGCATGTACCTGACAACAAGATAGCATGATTCCCAAACAAGAAGTTGATACATTCTTGCAGGATTGTCTTCTATAGCCTCTTAGACAGTGATCAGCTATAGAATGTTTCCACGGGATTCTTATTGTTATCTTGTCTATTTTTTCCTTTGCTCTGGTGTAGTGTTTGAACATATTGGCTCAGATTTTGTAGATTATAGAGATCAAAGATCATTATCCGTAAATACAAGAAGTTTGATTATCTGATGCAAACTATAGAGTGATTGGTGAAGGAACAGCTTCTGTCTGTAATTGAACAGTCACATGACCTTTTTGGAAAGATTACTGTAATGCTCTGTGATCTTTCCTGTGCCATTACACTGCCTTTTAAAGTATGAGTCTCAGTTAGTTACCACAGCTCAAAAATGTCTGTGACCAAGTGCTCTCTGTTTACATGTCTACATGTCAGTCCTCCCCATGAATAGTCCTCTCCTGGTACATGGGCAGCACTTTATTTAATGTCTCCTTCAGTACCCTTGCTGTGAAAGTACTTGTACAGGCAAGTACTTAACTTGAAATCACATGGGATTCCTGATTCTCTGCTCTTACAGAGAAGGTCTAGTGACCTCTATGGTCTCAGAACAGCTCCAGAGCAGTTGTCCAGGTCTCTTTTTCTACAAACGTACAGTATGCAGTCTCTTGGAAATGTGCTTGCTGTCACTGGTTCAATTTGACTGACCTCAAAGCTCAGGCTGTGCCAAAGAACCGCACAAAGAACTTCTGCACTAACCGTTTCACTTCTTGCACTTCTTGATTCCTTCATATACTAATACTTTTGCAAGGCTGCTGTTCTTGTGTCTGTCATAAAAAAACACCTAAATGCTGTGATTTTGAAAATGTTTCTTCCAAGATTTGTGGAAGTACTCTTTTATCGTTCTAGGGAATGTTCTGCTCTTTCTGCTAAGGACAGCCACCTTTCTGAACTAAAGAAAATAATTCACTAATTTAATTTGTATTTGGAACAGTTACAGAATATTTTATGTAGTTGTGCTGCATATTCAGCAGTAGACCTAAATGTCTGCCATCTGTATCCTTCCATACTCCTTACATTCTGTGTTTCCTTCCCTCTCTGTTTTTGCTTTTTTCCTTCATTTTTTATAGGACCGTAATGTTGCCTTCCTCTCCACGTACGAAAGCCTCTCAAAGAGACCCACTATCCCAGCTTAACCACATGGTGGATGCTGAGTAGAGAGCCATGATCAGTGCTTCTTCTGCGATTGTTGCCTTTAGGAATTTTAGTTTGGTTTAATGGCTTAATGTTCATAGCATGATATGATTGGGGCAAGACAGTTGTTTTTTGTGTGTTGCTTTGTTTTTTTGAACAGTTACTAGTCTTTATATGAGGGCAGATGCTTCAGATTTCACATTGCAGTGTGTTTATCTGTAATTAATATGCTCTTTCTTCAGTAGCAGAGTATTGCATGAAAGTAATTGGCATTTATCGAAGAGAAAAAACAGCTATCTAACCTAGATTTTTTAGATAAGGACATATGAAATTGCCTCTTTGCTCTCATGTAAAGTGGTTTCTGTTAATGTAGGCAGAAGGGACGGATAGTGGGTCTTTCTGTGGCTTTCACGTCTGTTTCGCTATCCTCTGTCCTTCCTCCCTACTTTTTTTTTGACTGGGTCTGGTTTGCTCACATAATTCATTTTGCTTTGTTTATTCTGTCTGGTGGTGGGCATGTGGTCACACAAAAACCCACAACCGTTTTTTTTAATCTGTGTTATCCTTTCGATTTCTGTAGTAGTGATATATTCAATCTGCTATTTCTGAGTCTTTTTTTAATTCGTTTCAATATATGTTTCCATTAAATGCTTTTCACTGTACGGGACACACATTATAGATTACCTGTGAGTTCAGTATTTCCTGATTAGTGGTTTCAGGTGTAAGGTATAGGAGTTTAGTTGTTAGATATTCAGTAGGTGGTCTATACAGTATCTGCAACCTGAAAATTATCCAGAATGACAGCAGTCTTGAATAGCACCAGCAGGGGTCAATTTCAGTTGCACTGTATCAATTACAGTGACATTTACACTACTTACACTAGCAGTAAATACAAATACCGGTAAATAAAAATAAATACTATTGCATAGGTGAAGGAGTGGCAGCAAAGTTTTAGCAACAATATCTTTGAACTGAGGTTTAATAAACTGTTTTCAGCCACTTTTCAGTATCAAAACACACAGTGTTACAGTATTCACTTAAGTTATTTCTCCTCTTTAGAAAGCAAGAAAAAGCTCAAGAAAACAAATAGCTTAAATGTTTTTTCAAGAGTATTATGGAATTATGTTCTATGGTTGCATGCATATACTGCCCTTGTGTGCAGTATGAATAAACACTCTTTTAACCACATCGGCATGCAAGTTGTAATATAAGTGCAGTATCCAGATCTCTTGAAAATGTGGAATACACATTGATTTTTGTTTATTTTTGAGGGCATAATAAAAACGAAAAAATATTATGAGATGCTTTAATTTGATTTTTGCATTATTGCCCATTTGCCATTTTATAAACAATGGCAGCATTGACAGGTTAAGCTATATCAACTATAACACAAGCATAAATGTGTTACTTAGCTACATGCAGCTAGGTTAATCATTAGATTGAATTTTGCCATGCAGTGAGTTAAATCCCATTTTCTTGAAACTAAGTTATACGTCACAAAATGGTATTGTAGTCCTTCTGCCCTCCATATTTGAATTCTGTGTTTATTTCACATAGGGTTTATACTCCTGCTAAGTCAGGTATTAACTTCAACCACCACTGAGTACTATATTACTATTAGTACTATATAAGCCCCTTCTCTTTCAGTTCCTCCTTTCTTTTATACAGTGAATCCCAACACTCTCCTATTGTTAGAGGAATCTAGGTTCCTTTTTAAATGCAAGAGCTTGTTTTGGACATTTGTAGCAAGGTTTGAAGTATAAGAAGGTAAAAAACATATATACAGTAAGATGGTAACATGAGAAAGGTTACAAATGAAAAGTATTTCTGCTCACCTAGCCTCTTTGTATTGCATGAAGTGCACAGTTTCTAGGGTGAAAGGAAATTCCGTAGATCCGTTTGCGTAAATAAAATTCAAATTCTGAAGCTACTGATCCTTAATTGGTAGGCTGTTTCCCATATATTTTGTCGTAATATGTGTTTGATTACAGCTGAACTACTATACCTTTAATACCTGCATTATGAAATGTGGTGTTTGCAACTTAATAATAACAATAAGAGTCTGAATTCTAAAAAAATGTCTTACAAATCACAAAAAACAGAAATTGCAAGACATGGGCACAAATTCCACAGCTAATACTAATCATACTGATATAGTTCAAGTAGGTAGCTGCGTCAACATGTGTAGGCTACAAAGGAACAAGTAAAGGATTTGTACCATGCTGAAAAGAAAAGGAAAGAAACACAATGTTTCAGCTGTGGAGCCTTCTTCAGAAGAAGGCTCTACAGCCGAGACATTGTGTTTATTTTCTTCTCTTTATATATTGATATAGTTCTATATACATATACAGTATTTTGCTTCAGTTTTGTGGTGGCTGCTATAACTATTGCCAGCATCAGAGTGTAGTTTTTTAACCATTCATAGAGGGATACAGTTTGCTGGCAGCTTTTTAAACATGATTTGTTTTTCATGTATTGAAATGTTACATTAATATTTAATGTCACTATGCAATTATTAGAAGGGGTTTTGCTTTTATCTAAAAAACATGGGTGGTGTTCTTAGCATTTTTATTTTAAGCTCAACACATGTTTATACATTTTCAAAATGTGCCTCATTTATATAGAGAAATACCTATGATGAATAACAGAAATAAACGCTTGATTTAAAACATGTGGAGCCTTTTGGAGTTTAGTGTTTTTTTGTGCTATGATGAAAATCATGGGTTCCTTATCACATATTCTTTATGTTTCCAGTAGTTAAAGTAGAAGGGGGTTAGGAAAAAATCATACTTAACAAAGAATAAGAAAATCCACATCTCCCACCCTTCTGTACAAAACAGTTGTTTTCAAGACGTTGAGAAGCAGTGTTTGTATATTTAGTAAATACAATGGTAGTTTGAAGCATCTAAGAAATCTAATCTGTATTATTATAATAGTATTTCTTTTAGTATCTGAAAACTCACATTTATCATTTTAAATCAAAACAGGATATTTCAGTTATTATAGTCCATACCTATACCTCACAGTATTTCAAAAGAATTTAATTTCAGGTAAAAAGTATTTTGTGAATCCATATTGATATTTCTTTAAATAGTTAAATACAGTAGTTCTCTATCACTGACTGCCTCACACCCTAGTCTAAATCATAACTAATATAATAATTAATAAAAGGAGTTCAATCTTGATCCTAGAGTGCTGCGATCTAGCTGTTTTTATAGATAACCATTACATTATAAATTTATAAAGACTAAAATCTAAAAATCTGTGAGTTTTGGTCAATTTAGTAAGTTAATTGGTTCAATTAAGAAAGCCGTTACAAATTTCTGATTTAGGAATGTCCCATACCTCTGGGAAACTGCTGGGCTAACCACTTGGCTCTTAATAACCAAGGTTAACCACTCCAACTCTTAACAGTTTAGAGTCACCCCACCCCTGGGGTGGCTGTCAAGTAAATTTCCTTATGACATTTTGCCTTTGGGAGCCATTTCAGAGCCATTGTTGATAGAACAGTATGATAGAATGGCAAGTAAGAATGCAACAGGAAAAACGAAGAATGGAAAAAGAAAAACAAAAAAGGACATGGACTTAATAGAAATACATTTATCAATTTTAAGCAATTAAATAGAGTGAGAAAAGAAAATGCTTTCAAGAGAAGTTAAGAGAGTACCGTCAAACTTAGGAAACCTATCCATCATAACCTGTTATTAATTTTAATGAAGTATTTGAACATGAGCACAGTTTGTAAGTATAAGACTGGGAAACATGATGTATTGATACATGTCAGTTTTCTGTGGCGGGGTCATTTTCACACAGACTAAAGTGTGTCACAGAGACAGCAGAGATCACTGTCAATAGTAAATGCATAGTACAAAGAATTATTCAGGAAACAGAAACAAGCTCATAGGTGATGGTGTCAAAACATGTCAAAAAGCTAGAATGTAAATGCATGTGAAGAAACTTTCAAAAACTGAAAAAGTAGAAAAGATATCCTTAATGAATGAATGCAACAATGAAAGGCAGACTCCCTTAAGACCAGTTCACAATGTGTGTGTTCTTTTCTTACCTATGTGACAGCCCGTGGACAGCTTGTTAATTTATTTTTGTTTCTTAAGTCTTGCAATGTTCCTGAAGAACTAAGCACACAGGACATTTCTTTGTCAGACCACCTCTCATACACAGGAACTCCCTTGCTACCCAATCCACAGTCACTACCTGCATCTCTGTTTATGTAACTATGCTTTTATTGGTTGCTTTTCTGTAAACATGCTATTTTTACTTACAAAAATGTCATGTGTAATTAGAAACCTTTATTATATTGAGAAAGGTTTCTTTATCAATGTAGAGGCAAGTTACCTTGAAGCTCAGGTTCAGGATAACTCAGGAGCCGAGTTATCATATCTTCCTCTTCTATGTTCATTTTGTTCTTGCATGTCTGTGGAAGTGCATAAAGGAATGGTGCTTATCAGCTAGACTATTGTTTCCTTATTGTTTTGTATATCCATTTGTGTGTGCCTTGCATGATGTATGTTATTTCTTGAATATTATTTAAAATACTTTTTGCCTACTATATATTAGGGTTTGTTATATTCAAAGGGGATACATATTATGGTGGTGGGGGTTATTGGCAGTCTGTGAAAATACTAGAGGAATTGGTACAAAGGTGTTGCAGCAACCAGCTGAAGTGTGGGTCTTTCACCCATAGGTAAGCCTCTTTAATGGATTTTTGCTTTTCGATGTATAAATTATTCCTGTATACAGTAGTGTAGTGCACAGCTCTAAATGTTTGTATTAAATGCTAAAAGACTGGGCTAGAAAACATTTGTACTGTGGTACCGCAAGAGATGCACTGGAATACAAATAGACTTTTGATGTACATTTGATCTACTTTTTAATGTCTTAAGCATCTCAGCCTGTTAATACTATTAGTGTAGTATTTAAAAGTCTGTGATCTCTATTTCAAGTTTTTTACAACCTGTTTGCACTGATGTGTCTGTATCTCTTCTTACAGGGTGTGCTGACCTGATGAGCCTCGACACTATGTCACCCCTAGAAAGGAAGCGGCAGGGTTATATCCACGAGCTCATTGCGACTGAAGAGCGATACATGGATGACCTTCAGCTTGTATTGGAGGTACAACAAGAAGTTACACAGAAGGGTCTATATGTATAAGAAAGATCATTTAACAGAATTGTCTCTTCCCTTTATGAAGGCAGTAATCTCAGAAATGTTATCTCTTGGAGAAGTGGTTAGGGGATTATAATTCCTAACTGGGTCATGGGGTCAGATTCCTAGTAGGATGCTCCTGTTGTACTCTCAATGAACGTAACTCAGATCACTCCACTAAATGTCCTGCAGTTTAAACAGGTCTCCAGTTTGCCATTGGAAAAGAGAATTTCCTCACAACTGACTTACAGTACCTGGTAAAATAAAGGCATCAAAATATATATATGGAGCAATATCCTTCAACCACTTCAGAATTAATTAAGTCCCAATTCTTCTTTTGTAGTTATTTGTAAACAACTTCTTTTGTTTTAAAGCAAAGTCTCTTGTGCTTTTTTCAGGTCTTTCATAAACCTATGGCGGAGTCTGGAATGCTTACAGAGAACGAGATGTCAATGATTTTTGTGAACTGGAATGAGCTTATTACCTCAAATACTAAGCTGCTAAAGTGAGTGTTGTGTTCGTACACCCGTTGTTCAAGGTCTTCTGTCATTTTACAGAATATACATAGGAAAAAGTAGTTTGACTCAGTTGTGGGGGAGCTCAACCAGGAATGTGTGTCCATCAGGGCCCTGCGAGTGAGGAAGAAGACGGGGGGTGAGAAGATGCCAGTTCAGATGATAGGAGACATCCTGGCCTCTGAGCTTGCCCATATGCAGGCCTACATCCGCTTTTGTAGCTGTCAGCTCAACGGAGCGGCTCTTCTCCAGCAAAAGACTGACCAGGAGCCAGACTTCAAGGAGTCTCTTAAGGTGAGCTTTTGGAAAAAGAGAAGAAGTTAGGTCATTTAAAAATCTGAAGCTGCATCTAGAACAGATTTGATACCTTTTTTCAGAGTTGTTTTTCAATGTCAATAATGTCAGTTATCTGCAGTTATACATGTCATAGAACACTGGCTATATACAGTGTTTAAGTAGGGTGTAAATATAGTAACCTTTGGAGTGTTTGAATGTAAATGTGGTTTAAAACTGTCAAAACACTGAAAGAAATGGTGTCTTTATCATACAGAATTCTATAGCATTATTATTATCTTATTATTATTCCATGTTTGTATATGAAAGGCAGTAATTATTGCTGACTTCTGTTTATCTAAGAAAAACGAGGTGTGTAGATTTTAGATATTGATTAAAACTGTTTGGAGTCATTTTGATTAATCGATCATTCATGACTGGCTGTGAAGCACTTGCATGACTTACCTATCTAGGTAGCCTAAGAATTAAGTTGTCTTACAATTGAGAGAGTTTATCGGGCACAGGCATTGAGGTGATGTAACCTGTTGAACTGATATTGATTTTCTTTCATTTTTATCTTTCCTATATTATACAGAGATTTGCCACAGATAACCGGTGTAAAGGGATGCCTCTCTCCAGCTTTCTTCTGAAACCCATGCAAAGAATCACCCGCTATCCACTCTTAATTAAAAATGTAAGAGTTATAGGATTCAGATTACGTATTACTATTTGTAAATGTTTTCTGTTTATGGAGCAAACTCATAATTTTTTGCCTTTTTTGCTCTAAAAAATATATTTAACCAAGTATTTCTATTGATTTCTTAAAAGGGAGGTAAAAAATGTTGAAGTTTAGTTCTGTTCATTTCACTGCAGTTTTGCCACACTGATGGAACCCTTCTAGTACAGGGAGTGACTCAAGATTGATTTGTCCTTTAGTGTCATGGTTTTTCCCATACAGTTCATTAACCAAGCAGCAGATATAACTGATTTATACAAGCCAGAGTGCAAACATCAATCCAATTAATGTGCTGAATGAGGTCAATCATATTTCATACTGTTGCGTTTTATCATCTCTTGCCGAAAGGGTCTCACTGACATTGGATAGTGTTCCTAAGGGTTGAAGTACAGTATGTTTGCCAGTTAAGAATAATAAACATTGTGGCTGGAGTATAGAATGATCTTCGTCATGAACATCCATCCATTTTCTTCATCCAATACAGGGTTGCAGGGGTGCCAGCAATGGGCACTGGGTTTTATACAGTATACTCTGGATTGAACACCAGTCTATCGCAGGGCACACACTGGCACAAACACACACACAGTCAATTTTTCCAGAAGCTAGTTAACCTAGCAGTATGTGTTTGGAAGTGCACTCGAGAAAAGCATACAAACTCCACGCAGATAGCACCCCAGGTCCAGAATTGAACCCAAAGCCCCACTGCTGTGAAGCAAACCACTGCACCACCATGCCACCCTCATCAGGAACGTAAAATCCCAAATGAATAATGCAAATAATTATGGCATCATCTACGAATAAACTTTTTCCTTCTCAGAAGGCAAACTACTACTATTTTTCATTTCTAATGATGAGTGCAGGTTGTCAGCGGAGGAACAGTGAGGATTTATTGTCCACTTCAAGCCTTTGCTTTTTGTCTGAGCAGATTTTGGAGAGCACTCCAGAAAGCCACCCTGACCACAGTCATCTCCGGGAAGCTTTGGAGAAGGCAGAGGAGCTGTGCTCTCAGGTCAACGAAGGTGTGAGAGAGAAGGAGAACTCTGACCGCCTGGAGTGGATCCAGACACATGTGCAATGTGAAGGGATCACGGAGGTGAGACAGCAGTACAGAAACAAGCCCAAATCAAACTCTACTACAGTGCACCTCAGCTTCGGCAGAGAAAAACTGATAGCTGATCACCTCAATGTTTTTTCTTTCTGCTTGCTTTAAAACCCATAAATACACGTGAAAAAAACAACTGATGGTTCTATGCTTCCAGTTTAAAATTGATTGTTACGTCTGTTGTATAGCTATTTTACACTATAGTAGTTCAAGTAGGTACAGTAGCTGTGTCAGCATGTGTTGGCTGCACAGAAACAAGTAAAGGTTTATTCCATGCTGAAAAGGAGCCACATCTGATGAAGAATTCAGAGCTCAAACGTTTTTCTTTTCTTCTCTTTTCAGCATGGAAACCTTGACTTGTTCCTTATTTTAGGCTTTGCCAGAAGTACAACATCAAATTTACCACAAGATGAAATTCACACTCTGATCTGACTTCAGGGTTATATACAGTTGATAATGACAAGGAAATATGTTATCACTTTATTATTCATTAAAGCAAAACAGTGTTATTCTATTTGGACCCACCTACAAATGGCAAATTTCCAATTCCAAGAAGATGCTTTTATGCAAAAAAGATTATTTAGTTTGTGTAACGATGAATCTGACATGATGTAAATGTGATCCTTAGTGGTGTCTTTTGAGATCTGTGCATTCAGCACTTGCCTACTGTACTGGAACAAATCTAAAAGAATTGGTTAGCTATTAAAATGATGGTGCTTCGCCTTTTTTCAGGCAGAAAGACAAAGTATAAAACCTTCATTGAAATCTCTGTGTTTTTTTTGCTATTTCACTCAGCATTTAGTCTTCAACTCCCTTACGAACTGCCTGGGACCCCGAAAACTGCTTCACAGTGGTAAACTATTCAAAACCAAGAGTAACAAGGAGCTGTATGGATTCCTGTTCAACGATTTCCTCCTGCTCACCTACATGGTCAAGCAGTTCACTTCATCTGGGGTGGAAAAGGTTTTCAGTCCCAAGTCCAACAGCCAATTCAAAATGTACAAGAGTGTAAGTTCACTTTCAGACATTTTTATGTTTTTGGCTGCGTTACTTTATATGAAAGTTGGGAAACATGAGAAACTAAAGGGAATGAAACTCCAGTGTTGTTAGCTGAACCAATGATAGTTTATTCTAGTACTGTATTTGTTACTCACATTACATTCAGTGTCTACATTTTTTATAAAACGTTCCTTTTCAAAGGGTCATGACATTTAATAACAGTTTATTTTTTACAGTACACTTTTGCATTATTTTGTTAAAAAAAGAAGGGATTTGCATTGAAGACATCAACATTTAGGAAATGCAGATTATTAGCATACATACATTACTTTTTATAAAACATTTTAATATGGTATAAGTACCCCAAACTGAATGGTACTGTATTAATCCTCTGTTTCTGGTTTCTTAAACTAAAAAAAGTTTAATTTGGATTTAGTTTTTTATTCTTTCTTATAAAGCCTTCCTAAAACTTTCTTATGCAAGTGTTTTTCTAAACTGATACACTGATTTTCTGGTGTATTCCCTCTTAGCCTGTGTTTCTAAATGAAGTGCTTGTGAAGCTGCCCTCTGACCCCTCCAGTGATGAACCAGTATTTCACATCTCACACATTGACCGTGTGTACACCCTGAGGACTGAAAACATTAATGAAAGGTGAATCCCAAAAAGCCAATGATACAGGCTTCATGTCCAGTTTAGTAGATGCTTTTCAAAGCTTTAGATGCTTCTGAAATACTGTTTTACTCCCAGAATAAGTTTATCTGCCAAAAAGTCAGTGAAAATGAATTACTTTAACTTTTTCCATTTAATCTAAGGTTTTGTCAGCTGTTGTGTTGATTTTTCGTAGAGCACATTTTAAAATGCTTTCTAACAGTGCAAAATGTCAGTTTCTGATTCTCTAGCTTCTGGCAAAATAGTGACACTATCTGCATCTTTGGCCTGAAAAACAAATACTAAGTGTTGTATCTAAAGACATCGAGTTTTGTATTTTATTATTACTGTTTTTGATGATAGATATGTTAAGTTGGTTTCCTTAACCAAGGTGACTTACAGTGCATAGAAATATTTACATTACGCCTAACTACAAAGGATACAATCAATTTGGCGTTATTCAAAAATGCAAGTACAATAAAATAAATGACTAAGGCTAGCATAATCTTGGAACTGCAAGCACTGCACAAAAATGAAATTCTAAGCGTTCTTAAGATAATGCAGAATCTGTGGATGCACATTCCATGTTTATAGTAAATAAGCGCATTTTGTAAATTAAACAATTATATGTCTGTTCAATTACTTATTTGATTTTAAAGCCTTTTGGGGGTACCCTGCATACAGTATACTGATCTTAGAATAGTGATTTCTAGAACTGGGCATAAAAACATGCTCGAGTTTTTTTCACATTCACCCAAACTTTAAAATGATATTCAAAAATAATTTGATTTCACATTTTCATTTCACTCAAAGCAACATGTTTCCCTTCTTGTTTCACATATATTCCTAGGACGGCCTGGGTTCAGAAAATTAAAGCTGCATCCGAACACTTCTTAGACACAGAAAAGAAGAAACGGGAGAAAGCTTACCAAGGTAAAACCATAACATACCAGCCTTTCTGGATTGTATACTTCTAGTCAAATGTAGCTGCAGATTTGCATGTACTGTAGCAGCAGTCTCAAAGCACGAGAAAGCAGGTCATGGGTTCGTAATATTTCAGGTCAGACATGATCTGCCATAATATATAATAAGAATTGGATTAACTAATTACTATTATGATGGTATACTGCAATCATCAGGTTAGTCTGTGATAGTACTTAAAAGATCAGTCAGGGCTCAGTGTAAGGTCTCTTTACCAATGGAGGGGAATGTTGATAGCATCTGTTCTTATTCAGTCTGTAATTCCTGCATCCTCTGTTTACAGCACGCTCTCAAAAAGCCAGTGGAATCGGTCGATTACTGGTAACTATCCTTGAAGCATCCGAACTGAAATCCAGCAAACCAAATGGTGAGGAATGTTGGCTGAATGTTTGCTTCAATATTGCAGTTGCATGACGGTCACATTTATCAAAAGCAATGCATTTGTACCCATTTAAACAGTTGAGCATTTTAAGGAAGCATTTTGCATGGAGTATATTCCTCAAAGATGCCAAGGAACTCTACCTTGGTTTTGAACCCAAAACCTTCCACTTACAAGCCCAGAGCCTTAACCACTCTTTCACTTTGCTGCCTATAATAAATGGCAGAATGTGAGGAAATGAAGGGAAACAATATTGTAACTAATGTACCGGACTGGAAAAAAAAATAGTGTTATGTGCATATCCAGTGCTTGCTTCGGCAGCACATACTATATACTGAAATTATGCCACATATCCATTTATTCTGTAGAACACTTGTGATGTTAAAGTAATAATCAGGTTCAAACCTGGACAAAACAAATGTTTGCTAATATTAGTAATTAGTAATTAACACAACTAGGCAATCACACTATACACAGATATGTACAGTATGATCTGTGTGTTTCAGAGTCCTAGAATCTAACAAGTTCCAGGATTCTGCACATACAGAATAATCTAATCATGCCACAATAACAATTTCACAGGCTTAGAAGAGATAAAATGCATCAAAATAAAAATGGATAACACCCATGACTTAAATGGATAACACCTTGGAGTAAATCTTTCTCTTTAAAACATACTGTACATGTCCACAAGTGAATGAGAGCCCATTTCCCTGTTCTGTCAATCATGAAAATAGGGGAGACATGTTTAGCCTGAAAAATACTCTCTTGTCATAATGCTCAGATTACCTATACAGAATCTGCTTCCCAATCTGTTTAGAAAAGATCTCTCACTCGCATCTTTGGAGTTGATGAAAGATGGTGGTGATGATTGATGATGTTCTACCTGCCTTCTTTTTTATTTTCTTCTGTCCTCTCCTCTGCTTCTTCACGGTTATTGTTTTCTTACCATTATGTCTGCTCCTGTATTCATACTATAGTCCATTATTCTGGATGCTGTTTATTCTTTAATATGGTGGTCCCAATGATTTATGTGAAGCTAGTTGAATTAACTTGAAATTGTTAGAAATACCTTTAGATCATCAGTGTTTTCTTCAATGTTTACTTGCCTCCTAGTCCAAAGACAGCTAAATACAGTACATACAGTATATGCAGAAAAACAAGTTCCATTTATTTTGCTTTTGGACTGTATTTTTTTGTTTTGTTTTATTGTACAATGGCATGAAAGAGACTCCTGAGGGTGTACTGTGTAACATTCTATGGATTTCATGTGATCACTTTTCTTTCAGGGCAATGTACCTCTTGATGTTTATTAAGAAGAATAACAAAGCTATTGTGTTTTACAGAATTACAGTATTTTTTACAGTATTTGCAAAATAATTAGTGATTGATTTTGGGGCAGTTCCTTAAACAATCAAAAACAGTGCTGATTTTAGGGTTATTTCTGAAAACCAAGATGTTTCCAAAAGATAATTTCTGATCCTCAAAATAATGGATTTTAATGACCTTTGTTCTCACTTTGCAGGAAGGAGTAACTCATACTGTGAAGTAACCATGGGAGCCCAGTGTTTTACAACAAGGACAATAAATGACACCTCGAATCCCAAATGGAACTTTAACTGCCATTTTTTTATCAAGGACCTTTACCAAGATGTGCTTTGTATAACCATCTTTGGAAGGGATCAGTTTTCTCCAGATGGTAAGCCTTCTATTGTAAGAATCTATAGTTCTGCACAACCCATTACATTTTAATTCAGTAATACTAAAGTTACCTCAGAGTCAGAATTTATCACCCCATGTATTCCTACTGCATCGCTTTTGCCATTTTATGTAAAAATATATCTATATTCTATTTTGCCTGCAACATTTTCACTCAAGAGAAACTTTGGAGGAGCACAATCAGGATGTTCGCTTACAGCTCACTCTGCTGTCCTAACAGACTTCCTGGGGCGTACTGAGGTTCCGGTGGCGACAATCAAAAAAGAGCTGGAGAACAAGGGAGCCGCGACCAGGCGCTTGCTGCTTCACGAGGTGCCGACAGGAGAGGTGTGGGTGCGCTTGGACCTGCAGCTCTACGACCAGAAGACTCTCGTGTGAGCCTGGGGCCGCAGGTCCCCTTTCCACGGCTTACAGAGCCATCACACAGCAGTTGGCATGAATGTGGGAAAGACACTGGGCCCCGTCTCTATCATGATGCTGTGGCATCCCTGTTTCCACGGCGACCGGTGGCCTGGCTGCTTAACTATGCAACTAAATGTGACACTACTGAAGGGCTGCATCTTCAGTGATTGTTTTTTTTTTAACTACTTAACTGTGCTTTGCCAACTGTATATTTATAAAGGCCATAAAGGGTATATTTTTGAAAACTGTAAAATTATATAAGGTCTTTCTAATGATTTAAATCTACATATGTAATTAATAAATAAATAAAAAATAAAATTTGGGATCTTAAGTTTGGTTTTGCTGAGGCCAAGTAAGTACATTTAGTTTTGTTATACTACTGGAATTATCTCAGGATTTATTTTTTGTTGTTGTTACTTAATATATATCTCTCAGTCTTGCATGTGGAAATCTTGAAACAATTTGCTACTGTTTTAGGCAGAGAACTGTAAATCTTTGTGTTCTGCACTGAAATGAAAGGATTTTTTTCCTCTTTTGTCAAACATACTGCAGCAACAAAGTCACTTAAAATACCATAGTCAATATTTAACCTGCCTTAAACATTGACCTATATTTCTTAAAAATAAATCAAAATATATTTTTTGAGATTCATTTTATTAACTGTACTGTACATCTGTATATATACAACCGTTTTCCCCACATATGTATCAAAACATCTTTAGTTCTGGTTCTGCCATAGTGTCATGTACATAAATTAGAACCACTAACTATAAAAGTAATAGTCAACTTTTTTTTTTCATTTGCTGTATTTGAATTTTTTTCTTCAATTTTATTTTGCTGAAGGTACAATAAAGTATAATGGTAAGTGGGTGAGAATTCTGATATAAAATAGAATGGAATTCGGTGCAAAGAATTTTATTTATTTTTAATTTATGTAAAGAAAAAGATGTTTAAAGTACGTAAAACTAGATTTTATGCACAGTTATTATTTTAATAGATTTTTATTTCTTTCATAAAGGAAAAGGACATATTGTTTTTGATCTTTTCATCAAGAGTGAAAAAATATTTAGTATATATCCAGAGATAAAATGTTCTAAACTTGTTAATGTGTTACTGCTGTGGAATATGACTGGATATTTAGTTTTATTAAAACATGGTTGACTTCCATGTTGATTGTTTTCAAGCAACTCAATATTTGAATGGTAGTTTGCATTATTGTAAGTGATAATTGGAATTGTTATAAGTTGTGCATTGTGTTCAGAATGTCATTTGAAAACTTATGGAACGCCTCAGTTCTGAAATGGTTCTAATTGTTCTTGATATCAGCCAGTCCTTAATATGGTCATATGAATTCAGCCATATTCTTTTTAATCATGTTCTGTTTCTGAATATGCTACGGAATTATAGAATGGAATGACTGGAATAAAGGTTCTTTAAAGGTTCTTTGCCTGGATTTATTTTCATACTTTCATAATTTCAGCAAGATTAACACATTAATTCACATAAAATGCATCCACAGTTCTTGCATGTTGAATTAGCATTTTATTTCACTTAGATTAAAACAATCATCAGAAATATCAGGGCTGACCATTTTTTTAGAAAACATTTTTTCCAGATATTAATTTATTATATCTTATTAAATTAAATATTTGGTTATATTTTAAATATTTAACTGGAAATCCAAAAGGACAATTGACCCTCTATTTCATGTGAAATATACCATGTATAAAAATTATTAAAAAGTGAATGACCTTTTTCAGAGAGAAAGTAATATTACCTTCTGGTTTATTAGAATATTTGGGACTCTCATTAGTTGTGTTTACTTTGCACTGTACCACAAGCTCTAAAATAGAGACATCTGATTTTCTAAAATCAAATGAAAGCCTTCAGAATTATTCCAAGATATAAAGGGTATGTAACATTTTTGGTAATATGAATGGCTTGGATATTTGTGTGCACATGCGTACTCATTTTTGAAGCTGCAGATAATTGTCTGGAGTTACAGAAGTATTGGGAATCTATCACAATATTTACATGATACCATAATGGCATGTGTACCATTTCCAGGTCTTTTTTTGTGATTGAGCTTGATTGGAGTCAAAACATCACTAACCAGGGGCGTCATAGTGATACAGTGGTTAACATTGCTGCCTCGCAGTTCTAAGGCTCTGGGTTCAATTCCCGACTTGGGGTGCTATCTGCATGGAGTCTGTATGTTCTCCTTGTGTTCACTTGGAACAAAGGTACTCTGGCTTCATCTCATAGTCAAAAACCATACTGATAGGTTAATTTTCTGGGAACACTGAGCCTGGTGTGAAGTTGTGCGTGTCTGTGTGTCTGACCTGTGATGGACTGTTGTCCCACCCAGGGTGTACCCTGCCTTGTGCTTGTTGTATGTTCTGCCTGTGTTTGTGCGGGTTTTCTCCAGGTGCTCTGGTTTCTTTCCACAGTCTAAAAACATACTGGTGGGTTAATTGCCCCTGGGGTGTGTGTCTGTATTTGCCCTGCAATGGGCTGGCATCCCGTCTGGGGTGTACCCTGCCTTGTGCCTGTCGCTTTCTGGGATAGGCTCCGGCTCCCCCCTAAACTGAACTGGAAGAAGTGGTTAGAAAATGGATGGATCTGCAACGGTGTTCGGGATTTCTTCATTTCACATGATTTTAAAAACTAGTTTTTAAAATCTACTAATGTATATAAGAACATTTGATTTATTATCTTTCCCTTTATCTTTGACTTAACAAACAATAACCCGCTTTTTAAGACGACAAAAGCTCAGCTTAAGTAGTTGCACAGATGCCTGTGATCAAGGACAGACACTTTATGTTAGAGTAGTCTTAATGTCACTTTAAAACTTCCATGCTTGAAAGATACTGACATAGGGCAACACTGTATGAAAGCATCATGCCACTTAGTTCAGAAGTCTAAAGAGGTCAATGGCAAATTTAGCAATAGGAAAAATATGAAATTTCATCTGTTAGCAAAAATGTCACCCTAAGAGTTTTGTTTTGTGCTACGTCACATTTTTATTAAAAGGTTTAATACTAAAACTGCAGTATGGCCATGCATACATTTAGCTGGACAGTGCACTTGAAGAAGCAAATAAGGTTACTATCACTTCCAAGTTGAATAGTTGTAGGAAGTCCTGAAAAGAATATGAAGATTGGTGATGAAGAGATGTGATAAGAACATAGGCAGAATATTCTGAAAAACTGATATTCTTGTGCTTCTTGTTTCTTCCTGTTGCATGATATCCTCTTCATGGGGCATTGTACCATGCATAAGTGCACTTGTAGTTGTCTTCTACTTTATTTGCAGTTCTACGGGCCTTCTTTCTGTCCCTAGACACACAAAATAAGAAGTTTTTTGACTGACATCGACATTAAATCTCAGATTCTCTGTTATCCAGTGTTGAAAGAATGCTTAAACATTTTTTTTTTACAAAAATATAACCAACAGAGCCAAAGAATATTGTTTTAAATGACAAAGATGCTTCTAAAAAGTGGAAAACCTATTTTTATAGTACAATTTTTAAAAATGTCAATAACAAGTAAAAACATTTGGTGATACCCTTTCTGGTAGTTTTGGTAAACGTACAGTATCAAGCACTAATGGTTCACATTGTGTACGATTTGCTTTTGTGCCCCTGCTAAAAGAAGCACACATCAGTGTCTATTAGACCTTGCACAACTCATCATTTCTAACCTTTCTAATCAGTTACAGCACAATTCAGAAATATGGGTAATGTTAAATGTGACAGCATTAACCTCATGTGAAATAGAGGTTTTTTTAAGCAAGACTGCTGGTTTCTTTTAAATTATTATTACTGGGAAACTTAACAATCACCTCTTTAAGATTTAAACTAAACTTTAATCTGAGTTAAAATAGTAAGTGTTATGTTTGATTGTATGTGTTTTAGCAGCAGTGTTGTACCTGCTTCGTTGCCACAAATCACTTTCAATATCCCCAAGTGGCATTCGTACCCATTTAATACTGTTAACCCCATGGCGACCTTGTGGTACTAGAGGCAAATTTGGTTTCAGAAGCTCCTCAATTTGTTTGAAGGAGTATACATTTCCTGTAATAAAAAACTGGATATAGCATTTCCAAAATATAGGTAGCTGCCAAATAAAGTATGTATCTTTAAACTTTATATCTTAAAATGTAGTGGTAAAGCTGTCATCGTGTCTCTTGTTTTTGCTAGTATGGATTACACAACAGGATTTGGAAGTGGTTGTAATGTTGAACTTGTTAACCAGCCTTTGAAGTGCCTGACTCACTCTGGTTTGCTGTTATTAGGAGTTTGGTTGCTTCACTTGTAATGGTGTTGAAACTAGTATCTGCATGAATGCAATGAAGTCACCAGGCATGATGTGGGAAAAGAGCAGCTGACCCAAAAAAGTTCCTTCATCTTCATCAAGTGCCAGAAGACTCATTGATTTGCCTTAAACTTGTTCTGACAGTTGCTGTTCAAATAGAACGTTCAGTGGAATAGTCTGTTCTCTTATAAAAACATTGTGTTATTTAATAAAAGTGAGTTATTTTTGTTTCCACTCAAGATGACACATAAAGTATTTAACCGCAGATGCTTAGTATGCTCTTTTTTCTCTTACTTTGTAATCCAGTTCCTACAAATATGTAGTGGTATTCATGGCCTGAACATATTACATGAATCAAACAAATAAAAAGCTATTGTATGCAATATTTCCTGCTATTTGTGGTACTTGTATGGCACTAAACACCTAGACCACAAATTACATTTTTTTAAAAGGGACCTGTTTGACATTGAAGGACAATTCCCTTCTCCTTCATTCGATCCTGATGTTGAATCAAAAGAGGATCTTCTAAAATTGGAGTTGAAACCTACAAGAATTAAAATAAAACACATGAAATGTTACCTTATTGTTTTTTAGCACTGATTTTTGATTAGCTATCCAAAATTCAAACTTCATTTGCCATTTCATGAAAAGTACACTGGAGTTCTTAATTCCAAAATTCATAAAAAAGTAATTGGAGTTCTTTGCTTGTTCTCTTAGTACACAGACAGGTGAAAACAGCAATAAATACAGCAAAAGCTATAGGTGAATAGTGCAAAGACAGTCTCTCCCAGTACACAATACAATACAACATATAAGAATTCACAATGTACAATAGTAAACAACAAATGTGCAGTATGCAGCGCAGAAATGCATTTTCAACAGGCAGTGAGTAGTCAGTCAGTTTCCAGTTAGCTATGAACTATGTAAACTATTTAATACTGTTTGCGGATAAAAATTGTTTCTGAACCTGGTGGTCTATGTTTTGGTGCTGCAGTACTACCTGCCAGACCATAGTGGTTAGAACAGTTTACTTGGATGATTATAATCCTGTATTATGGCACAGGCTTTAAACTTAGGATCTCATCAGTTGATGCCAAGTAAGAACCTACTGTATGTTTAAAGAAAAAACAAGTATACCCAGTTTGTGTAATAGACCTCTTCATGTGATAGGGCTCTGGCTCAATTTACTTCAGCTGAGAATCTGATTTCAGGTATTGAAAAGCTGAGTGGGGTTTTAAATTGGTATCAATCCTCTCCAATTACTAAGTTTCATAGATTCCTTTATTCTTATGTGTTAGCTGAACAGGAACTCTTTGGAAGGAAAAAAACTCTCTGGGAGTGCCTGATACATTTTCACCCCTGTATCTGTTAATCAGAAACTCAAGACAACTTAAGACCTCTTATTTCTTAAAAAGTTATTGAGAGCTCGTAAAACCTCATATACAGTACCTACGGTAAAGCTGATGACTAACACTTAAGTCTGACACTTTTTAAAACACAGATGGAGTAACAGGCAACAAGTCTGAACAAGCAAGTTCTATTTAAAGATATCAATTATCATCACAGATTAAGTGCTCAACTGGAACAAAACCCAACAGGTTTCTCCAGGAGTGGTGATTGGAACAACAAATGACACAGAATGTAATGCCTTGCTCAAAAGCTCATGTTTTGCATCTTGTAGATTTGCACAGATAAACTTGTCCACTTACACAAAACATATTGAGAGCCTTGCAAAAGTATTCAACTCCTTTCAACTACATCCCATTTTGTTGTATTATGAATGCACACATTTGTGAAGGGGAATATTTTTTTAAAAAGTTTATAATGCTCAAACTGAGAAAATTCTGGGTGAAAGAAATTGTGTTATTATATTGATTAGATAACTATTTACTCCCTTTACATGTAGGGGATATTCAATATGTCATTGGAAAAGAGAGGCTCCTTTACTACCCTGTTAGACTTCTTTGAAAAAGAAATAAAGAAAATGGACACAAAGTAATCATATAAATGGTATATATAGATTATCAGTAGATGAAAAGTTCATCATAGAACATTATTTTTTTTTAAATACAGGAAGCAGGCCAATAAATGTACTGGGATTAAGAACTGGATAAAGGACAGAAAACATTAGAGAAGGGGTAAAATTCTCAAGTTGAGATGATGAAATTGTTGGGAGTACCACAGGGATCTGTATTAGGACAACTGCTTTTCCTCATTTACATCAGGATTATACATGGAAATAGTAAATACAATTGTCAAGTTTGCAAATGATTCAACACTAAAACAGATTAGCAAGTGCGAAATTTAAAATATTAATGTCCCTATTGATATAAAACTACAGAGCTACTCTTCAAGATATAGTACTTTTCTACTTCTCAGACTTCAAAATGACAATCTTCATCACTATTAAGTAAGTCATTTGTTGAAGTCATTCCTTAAAGAACACTTACCTTAAAATAATGCGGTCTGTTTATGTGTAGAAGAAAGGGATTATATTCACGTGGATCGTAGTCTTTTAAAAACACAAAACCCTGTAAAAAATAATATTAAATAATAGTGTGGTCACTTTTATTACGATTATTTTTTTCATTTTAACAAAAACAATGCCATTTAAACACATGCAAAATTAATGCCCTTATCGATATTTTATGCAGTTTCAGAAATACTGTATTGAAACAAATTAAGTCATTCAGGGAAGGGGAAAATGAGACAGTTTTAGATAAATACAAATTAATACCTAGTGCCTCATACTAAACATGAGAATTTACCTTAAACAAACATTTAAACAGAAACCACTACCTTGGTGGTTAAATTAGTTAATTTAAATAAAAAACATTAAAACAATAATGTTTCTTTTTAACAATTGTCTCTACAATTTTGGTCAGAGAATTTTAGTTAGTAAAAGAGTAACCTTTTCCCGTTACTGCAGAATGACTAGATGAATTTTTTATTCTGCATTATTATTCATGAAAAGTTTTTAAAATTTTTAAAATTTGTTTCAATACTGTCTACATTCTGTTCATACAATTCAATACTGCCAGTTTTACATGATTTTTTAAATAATTCAATTCAGAGAGAAATTTAATGTTACATACTGTATGGTTGTGTAATTTTAAGAGTACCGTATGTTTTATACTAAAGACAAAATATTTACTAAAATGTCCAGAAAAATCTGGTTAGTCAAACCTTATGCAATTTGGAAGTACAGCAATTACTATAAAATGACTATAAAAAGGAATGAGCAGTATTAAAATACAACAGTCAAAACACTTCCTAAAACATTGCCATCAGAATACCCATAAAATAGAAAAGACTTTCTCTTCAGGAATACCAGGATATTAGTAAGCCAAGGATCAGTGAGAAGAAAAATGAGCAAAGTTATACTTAACACCAGTATCTCTGCACATCAGATACTTTCAAATATGGTCTGGACAGCATGTTGCTCCATTGTACTTTTTTTGGGGACACTCAATCTGTATATACCTATGCACATTTTGCACATATTTTATTGTTTTTACAGTGGCTATGAGCATATTTTGCACACACCTATGTAATTATTTTTATTTATTTTATATTTATTTTTTACCACTGTACATATTTCAATTTTTTGTCTATTCTGATGTTTTTTGCTTTGCTTGTCTTGGGCTGGGCTGCTGTAACACGTCAATTTCCCTTCGGGATCAATAAAGTCTTATCTATCTATACTGAATAATTTATGCTTAATTATACACACAGATATTTTATTTACAAACATTACATCTCATATATTAACAGCAATCTGACATCAATAATAAGCAATCTTGTGTCTGTTGGTATTTGTAAATTGTCTCTGCAATCTTGTAACGGTCAGTTTCCAATGGAATGGGTACATGTATAGTCCCACCTTGTGGTCTGCAATACTAGAAGTCTTACCAGAACTTAGTGAGTTTCAGAAAAAAACGTTCTTAAATTTAAGCAGTAAATTTCCTACAATTCAGGGTGAAAAGTTTTTCCACTGCACACCACTAGAGGGCCCCCCAAATCTTCCCTCTCTAACCAGTTTCGCGTGAGAATGGGAATTAGCTCCAACTGGGTCCTCATTAGAGAACCCTATAAAACATTCTCATGCGATTCTCCTTGTGTTCACCTGTAAGACAGCGGATGTTCGTATTATTCCACGATCCAAGAGTCTCTCGCTGTTAGTTTAAACTTGAGGGCAGGAAGAAAGGCATCTTAGAGACTACTGTACTGTATGTGTCGGCTCTCTAATTCTGCCAGAAGTATCGACCCTCTGCCAGCGAAAGGCAGCCCGAAAACCCACTCTGTCACAAGGGTTCACAAGGTAGCTGGAGCCTATCATGGCAACCAACAGGCACAAGGCAGGGTACCCCGGGACAAGACACCGGTCTATCAGGGGCCAGATATGCAGATACACACACACTCACACCAGGTACCCATACCTCAAGTTTTCTTTTTCAGATATCACTTATATTATACAGTACATACTTATTACTTTACCTTGGTATTACAGTAATCCAAATATTGCAAAAACATGCTTCTCATCTGCTCTGCTTCTTGATAGCAGTATTTGTTTATGTGCTCTTTAATTTGTTTCTGAATTGGCTCAGAGACACATTCTTTCCATTTCTTGTGAAGAAGTTCTTTTTTACGCAACTCAAGGACATCTCTGTAGTTCAAATAATTATCCAGCTCCTGTTCAAATATAGCACAGGCTATTACACTACATATAGTGGGGGGAAATGTACATATTAATTAACTTTATTTCGGGAATCACATTTACTTTTTGTATGAAATTATCAAAATAATTAGCAAAAAAAATAATTAGCACAATATTTACTTGCAGTACATAATATTTGACATTATTTATTTATTTTTTGTGATGTTTTTTTTGGGGGAGGAATTACATCAGTACAAACTAGATGAAAAATAATCACAATTTTATTTTACCATAAAAATACAACCCAATCCCCTCCCTCTCAAGAAAGATTAGAAATGATAAAGTCTTACCTTAACAAACCCATTTTCTGTGTCCAAAACAGACTGTGCAAGCAATTGTGCTTCATGATTTTCAGCATGCAATTTTGCCTATAAGGGATTGAAAAATTGTACATACTACTTAAAGATGTGATTTTTTTGTAATCTACTATAATTTCTTTAAAAGGCAAAACAGATAACAGTTTATTTAAAGTTAACCTCCTAAGAAATAGCAATTGTTATATTATACAATTTAGTATAAGCACTAAATAGAGACTAGGTTATACAGCATATTACTTGTCAGTTTCCATCTAAGGGAAGAAATGTATAATTAAATATATGACCATAATATCCTTAGGGACATTCACTAAGGGGACTCAGAAAAGGGCAGGTTCTGTTTAATCATATTAACGCCTAAGCAAGTGGTCATCACAGTAAATGATTAGGCATAAAATATAATTTCTGTAGAATTTCTAAAGGTAAATTTTAACAAACAGCAGTGTAGTAAAGGTTAAATATAGATTCAAAACAACAGAAAGTAGACTGCTAATTACTGTGTATCAGTGTTATTTAATTGATCTTAGTGCATACTTAGGTAAATGATATTTGTCAGTGACATTAGATGAAAAGCTTCTAAAATGATTTTTGACTAAAAGGATGTCAGATCAACACTGATACTGTATACTGCTTTATAATATTTGCTCTTAAAATTTGAGAAAAGATTTTAAGTAGGCAATCAGTTTCACAGGGAACTACAACTAAGTTACACAGCACAAGATCTAATGAAGCCGGGTAACATCATAACCTATTGAAATATAGAATGGTTTCTACAGAAGTACAAAGTATAAAAACGTCAAAAGTTCAGGTGAATAAGATGAGGCACAATATGATTCTTTGAAACTCTAGTTACAAGCATGATTTAACAATCTTGGACAAAGTTATTGATCTTGAACCTGGTCTTTATTTATTAAGTGTGTCACATAAGAATCTAAGTAGAATCCACAAAAGAGTGTCCCCCATTACATACAAAACGGTTAATAGCAAGTACAAGGACATTTAAGAGAAATGCAAACACACACCTACTCTAAATGAATATTTAAATTTGTTTTAGACAGTCTAAAAGTTTCTTGAAAACTGTAGAATTGTCTTTGGTACCTGCATACGTGTGAAGGGGTTGCGTGACAGCCAGTCCACTGCATCCTTTCTTTTCAACACACAGTCAGACACCCAGGGGATTTTGTTTCTAGCACTATGTGATCTCCTTGACCCAGACATTGATACCACCTGGTCTTTATCGAGATTTCTCAGTGGCTGTGGCTGTGGAACAAAACAGTTTAATACTTCTCAGTTACACATATTTTTACACTAATGGTCAGAAAATTAAAATGCCCAGGTACGAATTCTTCATTTTTGGATTACAGAACATTCGTATACTGAATGTTCTTATACAGGGTATGAGTTTAATTGGTATAGGGTTGAATACCCACTACAAATTCCATTTGACCTGAAGAGCTGAAAGCAAATGTAATAATATGCTTCAAATAGAAAACTGAAGTTAATTAAACTCTGATTAACAATCCAGCTGGATATAAAAACAGAATTGTACAGCGGTCCTCAAAACCAGAATAAGGACCCACTGTGCTATGGCACGCACTTACTGCTGGCTCCTTTGTGTCCGAATTCTGGAAAAGGATGGGGTCAGTTGAGTGCATTATTATTGAACCTTTTGAGATAGTGTTCTTCACCTTCACAGGCATGTCTTACCTAAAACAATGACCAAACAAGACTCTGAAATTTAACTCGCAAGCTTCAATTTTGAAAGAAAATTCAACAGATCATGTTGCATTTCTTAACTGAGTAAACAGCTCATTTAATTACAGCTTCATTTTGAAGGTAACTTAGAATGTATCACATAGTGCAACAAACTAATTTAAAAGTCATCTTTACACAAAGAAAGTACAAGTCTTGGTTTGTTGACCAGTTTTCGACTACAAAGTAAATGAAACTTTACACAAACACAAAAAATAGACATCACCATACAGCATATACTGTACAGTATATGTATAGTAACACTTCAGCATAGATAGTGCAAATCCATGTATAAAATCCTTACAATCTGTAATACATACAATGGAAATAACATTTATACAGTTGCAACAGTGTGTTAGAAAGTGACACTTATTTACAATTGCATGGCTATTTAGTGATGTCAGATATGCATCATTTAAATCTGTGAAGAGAACTGTGATTTGTATCTCCTGATATAGCTATCAGCCTATGTTTTAACTTGAAGAATGGTTTTATAAATATACATTTCATCATGAAATTTAAATCAAAGTTAGAACAAACACATTTACCAATGAAAAATGTTAATTCTTTGTATGACATTCACTTAAAAAAACACCCGCCTTTTAATTAATCTAAAATTCAAATTCAAACAAACTCTTTTATGTGACAATTGTGTTTGATTTGAAGGCTCAGTTTGCACAAGGCATGTTATATCTCTAGTATGAAAAGCTGCACTCTTAACATGGTCTGTTAGTTTAAGAATATAGGGAAAACTGAATCCTGCTTGACAACCCACTTGTCTGACCACTAATCAACCACAAAGCCATTTTCTGCCTTTCTTTCTCTCCCTCTCTTCAAAAGTGGCGAAGAGGTCTGCAGAACAGACAAAAACGAAGGAGAAAAGGACATACTGTAGAACTGTGAATGGTGCACTTAAAGAGAATGTGAGTACATCCAGGAGGAGATGACACTGAGGCTGAGACGCAGGAAGGATGTGTATCAGTGAAAGGAAAAGAGAGAAAGAGCTGAGCATCGGCAGCATAAAAAAGACATGATAGTCCAGGAGATAAGATCAACTGGGAGTGGATCTTGAGAAATAGTAAGAGCAGGAGACCCAAACCAGAACCCTGGGGAGGACATGAGTGGAGAGAGTCGAGTGAGGAAACTTAGTTATGTGTCATCAGCACGGCCAGAGGAGAAATAGGTAAGAACAGTGCCAGGCTTTCCTGGGTTACAAAATGCTGACAGAAGATTCAAGACAGGACAGGAGATCTCTAGTGTCAAAGACGGCACAAAGATCCAGAAGGAAAAAGCCTGAGGAGAGGGAGGTGAGCTCACGTTGAGGGATGAGAATAAGGAATAAGAGAGCAGTTCCTGCTGAGTGTGCCAAGTGAAGGACAGAGTGGTGAAGGTCAAGCAGTGAGTGCTCCATGAGACCAGCTCAAAGCACACAGTTCAATGCCCGCTCGGTGGGTTTTACAGAACGGAGACAGGGAGATAATTCACAGATCATCTTGTAGGGATTGGGGATCAAGGGTGTTTTTTACTTTTAAGAGCAGTTTAATGAAGGCCTGTTTAAAACCAGGACAAACCATCTAAAAGCAGAGAAATATTAAAAGTAGAGAGGAAAAATAGAGATTGAAGCTAACAGCTAGAAGAGGGGAATGGCGGGGAGGTTTTGAATGCAAGAGGTACTGTATACAATAAAGTGGCCCTGGAACAAGGAGGAGAGCTCAGAGTAAGGAATGAAGGAGGGAAAGAAAGGAAAACCAGTGGTAGATGTAAGAAGAAAACCTTGATGGGGTGACAGAGGAGATGAATTGTGGAATGGTCTGCAAGACTCCAAGACTTCACAGCAGAATAAATAGAAGGCAAAGTCATCAGATGACTCAGAGGAAGGAGGAGGACAGAGAAAGGAAAAGGTAGAAAAAAAAGCAGAAGAGGACCGCTGACTGACAACTGGGAAATTGAATGCAAAGTCTGGCAGAGGTGTGAACTAAAGAGAAAGATGGAAGTTTTTTAAAGTTGCATCATACTGCAGATTAATGGATGTCTACAGACGCTAACCAAATGTGAAGGACTAATCAAAGAAACATGACACATTTATCATTAAAACAAGGGTAAATTCTGATTTTAGAGAACTGAGACAAAAATTAAAACATTAAAAAAATGCTACCTTTTGTATACCGTATATTAATGGTGTGTCACAGAAGGTAAAGAACCATACTAATTTCACAAATAAAAGGCATAAATGTTCATTTAGTACCATTTAAAAATATCTCAATAATGCCCTAACGTTATGTTTATTTTCAATTCTAATACACAGGCATCTAAAAAAGCAGTACATATTTTCTTGGGTATGCACTTCAATTTACAAGGATAGTATACTTACATCCAGTGAACAGCTCGTAGGAAGCAGCTACAGTGATCATAAAGTCATTCAATTTGCCAAGGCGTGTGGTGTCCACCGAAGAATAGAAGTGCCACATGGATATTGAGTACAATATGGCATAAATACCTACATGGTTCAATCGTTTAGTGTTTCATGGTTTAACGTAATCGTTTTACAGATTATTACATTTTATATGACGTATTTTCTAAATACGACGTATTTTAGTACGAAGGTAATGACAACTTTCTTCTCGTCACTTTTTTTTTTTTTATACGAATGTCATCTCCATCACGAAACAACTCACTGCGTTGTGTTGGGTACTGAGCAGCAGTACCAATTTCTCAGTAATAATCAAACTCCAACAACCGGGCTGCTAAAGCAAGCCAAAAGTCCGATCAAGTTTCACGACTAAATCAACCCGAACTACAGCGTGTGACCTGCTGCTATGACAACGTCACACGAGGACAAGAGGGCTGAACTGGCCAGTTGATGACGAGAATATTCTGTTTTAGCCAATCAAGTGTTGACTGAGTGGGGCGCTAAAAGATTTGTTCCCATGGGAATGGGTAAATAAGAAAATGAATGAAGCAGTAATCATTACTTAATGCGCCATACCAGAGAGTAAGTTTTAAATTTCAACGGATTAAATACACTGTTGATGAAGACGTTCATGGAGACCGTGAGTCCCATTTGATACTGTGCTATGCCATTGACAGTCGACTATACAATTATTTGGTAAGTAGGAATATAGCTTGATACCCTTATGCACGGGGATATTCTCAATTTTTACCGAAAACATATTAACGTCGAAAAAGAAACGTATTCAAATAACTAGATCCCCAATGCTAATATATTTGAAAGTCCAAAATAAAATTATGCCAGTAATCTTTGGATTAAATACACTGTACAAAAATGTAAAGAAAACACCCCACGAAAAACATACATAACATACTTAAAGTAGAATTTTTGTCACTTTCAATAAATGCATGCAGATGCAGAACATTTGTTTTTAAGTTGATGTTTTGTTTAATGGCTCAAGCGCACTATAGTGTTCTGAAGGTCATTAGACGTCGCGCTTCTTTCTTACCGCTAGAGGCCGCTACTGCTCCATCTAAATTTACTGCCGACTCTGGCTTCGATATGCGGAGTAGCTCATTGCCTTCAAGCATGCAGAGAATGCTGATGTGTGATTTTTATTTTGGGAATTGTATTTGCTGTTCTTAAAAACCTTATCCAGTGAGTGGTTTTAAGTATGTCTCATCTTCATATTTAGCCCTTGCCAGTCCACTACATATGTCTTCCACAAGCTTTCTTCAGCAGCTCTTGTCTAAATTGCTCCAGCAGTAACTAAAAAGCTCGGACATGAGTCCATGTGATACTAAAGAGGAATATTTTAGGTGGGACAGCACAGTTACAACCAGATTGTCTCCATGAATTACAGGATGACACAAGATGAACCAGCTACACAATTTACTAAACGACTGTCTCATCGATACAAAACATGTGGAAAGTGCAGCTGTTATTAGTTTGAAAGGTGCAGCTGTGTTGGCGACCTCTGCCCGGTTTAATGTAAGTAACCCTAATAGCTGACAACACCAAAATACTCAGCCAGCCTCATTTACTTCAAATCTGTGAGCAAACATCGCACTATATTCTGAATATACAGGGCAGAATGAATAAAGATCTGCAGGTAAGGTTGGGGAATTGGGATAATGTTCTAGTAGTTGCCCTTAAATTTAAATTTGATATAAGAAGGAGACTTTGACCTTACTGTAATGCACATTTCCTGTTTTGTACAATCTGTACAAAGCAGAATACTTTTATGTGGCTTAATGGCACAGTGGCTAGTATTGCACCCTTGCAGCACTGAGGCCCTGGGTTCAATTCTGGACTTGGGGTGCTATCTGCCTGGAGTTTGTATGTTTTACCTATATTGGTGTGGGTTTTCTCCAGGTGCTCTGGTTTCCTCCCACAGCCCCAAAACATGTACGGGTGGGTTAATTGTCCCTGGGGTGTGTGTGTTTCTGTATTATCCTCGTGATGGGCTGGCATCCCGTCTGGGGTGCACCCTGCCTTGTGTCTGTCACTTGCTGGGATAGGCTCCAGCTCCCCCATGACCCTGAATCGGAAAAGCTGGATGGAAATACTTTTGTTTTAAACTTTTCTTTGCGTTATAAATGTACCGTAGATACAGCCACAACAGGCCCACATGTTTGCAGAAGCATTCAAACGCACTGCAGTTATCCGGGAAGAGGGTTTCTACTTTCAGGATAAAAACTACTCCTGTGTCAGAGCTGACAAAAACTCAATCTACTCCAAATGCGTAAGTATTTAAAAACTAAAAGCACCGTAGTAACTGTCATATAATGTGGAACCTAGAAAAAATAAACTTGTGTTTCCTACTGTTTTGTTTTATAATAGAATGGCAAGGGACTGGTAATGGTTAAAACGGGATCCTATATACTGGTTGCTACGTACAACGAGGGCATGTATCCGAGTGTTTGTGTGGAAGCTGTGGAAAAACTAGGTAAGAGGAAACACAGTCTTGAGTTGGCACTGATCATATTTATTACATTTAATGATTGTAATGAGAAGCAGGGAAAGGATTTGTAATATAAAATCTTTTTAATATCGTATTTTATTTTTTATGTAAAAGGATTGTAAAACTGAACAATTCTTTCATTTCATTCACTTCACTTTCACTGTGACGTAAACAGTTACTGTAACATGCCTATTATACCATAATGATTCTATTTGTCCAGGACAACCTGTTTTTAATTTAATAGTCCCGATCCCAGCCTGGTGACTCATAAGACCACTACCAACCACCTTATCTGTACTGCTGAGCAAACAAGAGTACAACAGTCCACCCTCTTGATGGGGCAATTACAGTAGGGGTAAGCCCCATGAACTTTGTTCAAGGACAAAACTGCTGCTTCTGCAATAGGGGACTTAAGTGTAAACTCAAAGCCCTGAGTTAAAACTCCAGAGCCCTTATTGCTACTCTCTGCTTCCCAAAAACATCTGCATGATAAACTGTATAGTCTCAAACTATTTTAACTCGTTTGAGCAGTGGTTTCAAAATCAGTACATTATTTCCTGAATTAGACAATCTGCAGATATAATCAGTAGCGAATGGCATTGTGCAGAGCAAATATGGAGAAGAAAAATAAATAAAGGTATAAGGAACTCATGAAAGGCTCCTGGTGTAATTACAAAAACAATAACATACTGTATTTCAGTTTATTGATCGAAGTGCCTTCAATTAGTTCAGAACATTACATCTATATTCAAATAATGCAGTATGATTATTTTCTGGTCACAGTTTATTAAGAAAAAAATCTAATAATACAAAATACAGTAGTTAATAATTGTTCATTCATAAAAGGAAAGCTTAAAACACTTTTGCTTAAGTTTTATAATCAGAAACCTTCAGTGTTTTACATTGTTGGGAACATTTAATATATTTAAAATTACTTGCATATTATATTACAACTGAATTATGTCTATTCAACAACATTTACCTTCCTTTCCAGCTGAATATTTACGAGAGAAGGGAAAATGAAGAAAAAAGAAAACGAGAAGATTAATAATACACTTGCCAATACTAATTTGTAAAAAGTTAACTTTGGAATGTGTTATCAATTAACATTCATTAAAAACACTTAATTAAATTTGTAGCTTTCTCATTTAAAATGTTAGTAATTATACAAGAAGTGTTTTTAATTAAGAAAAAATACTAGAGTGACTTACTTTAAGAAGTGAGGTGTAAAAGTCAGGTAACTAATTAGAACATAAAAGTACTTAAACTACTTCCAAAACTATAGTATTTATTCTCAGACAAAACCATATTTAAGACTGTATCCACCTACTGTAGGTTCAATATGTTTTGCCAAAAATAAGGCTGCTCACAGTTTGTTCTGCCAGTCTCTTTTAATAAATTAACAGGACATTTGTAATAAGAAAAGCTAGGAAAAACATAATTAGTACTGTTCAACAGCAGAAATAACTGAAAATAACTGGATGTGGGAACAACACTTTTGAAACAAGTATGTTTCTTATTACCCACAGGCCATAGCCAATAAATGTTCTACCACATTAAATAATCCTAAAGATTTAATTTAATCTGCTTTGCACATTTGCTCAAGATTCTCAAATTGCTTGTCTTTCACTTATAGACAGCAATTCTTAAACTCTTTTCAAATTCCCAAAAGGATTCAAGTTAGAACTTTGAGTAGGTCACTCAATGACATTCACCTTTTTCTTAAGTTATAGCAGTGTAGGTTTAGTCTTGTGCTTTATGTTTGTGGCCTGACGAGAGGAGAGTTTTTGTTATAAATTTAGGTTTGAAGCAGGTATTCCCTTTAAGATTTGTCAGTACTTTTTTCCATCTACTGTATGTTGTTATTGCTCTTGACAAATTTCCTAGTTCCTGCTGATAAGAAGCAGTACTATAATATGATGCATGACAGAAGGGGTAACTCATTTCAGATATACAGTACTGTATGGTGTTTTACTGGTCAGTTTGGGGATCAGGATAATATAGACAATGTCAGTGTGCTTTTCACTTTTTGATGATCAACTTCATAATACTCAAAGAGAAATTAAAGGTAAATCCAAAGACTGGTATATTTATTCTGAAATAATGTGAACCACTATTACTGACGGAAGCCACTCAACAAATTGCTGGCTCAGTAAGGTAATTTTGTGTACCTAAAGTAATTTAGGAAAGAATGTGAATACTTTTGCATTCAATTGTTTTAAAATTGTTTTATTTTCGAATGTACAGTATGGTGTTAGTAATGTATATAACATTTATTATTACATCAAAGTGTTATGACAGCAAGCTTTAAAGCAACTAAATGTGAAAGTGATGCAATGATGAGAATACTTATGCAAGGTACTGGTTACTGTTTTTTATGTATGTTGTTTTATGCTTTCCTTTCATACTTAAGAATGTTTCAGTTCTTCCAATCCTAGTGTTCAGTTTTTATTTAAATGTAACATTATTACCATAGGATGGCAGGGAGCTGCAGTGGTTAGCATTGGTGCTCTGGAAAGGTCCTGAGGTGCTATCTGCATGAGGGTCATGTGTTGTCCCCATGTTCAAATGGGTTTCCCCTGGGTGCTCTGCTTTCCTCCCACAATCCAAAGACATACCACTAAATGAATCTGCAGCTGGTGTTTGCATTTGTGTCTGTATCTGTCCTGCAATGGACTGGTGTCACATCGAGTGCATACCCTGCCTTACCCCCATTACTTGTCTCTGGCTATCCCTTGACCATACATTGGATTAAGTGGTTAGATGATGGATGAATATATTATTAGCATACTTAAAACAAAGATTTACTGTATGATTCAAACCTTGATTTTCCCTGGAGAGGAACAAAAATGGTGAACATCCACACAATCAAGTGATTGAGAATCCACACGAGGTACTTTCTGGAGAGCTTTATACCAAAGGCGCATGTAGAAGTGGACTCTGCTGTTTACCAGATATGACACTGTAGTGATTCTGGTACAGGACTAAAGCCTTGAAAAAGAATCCTTCGGAAGAGGTAATCTTCCCACTGTAGGGGATAAAAGAAAAACAGGACTCTTAACAGTACTTGTTTCTGCTTGTTGTCATATGAAGTAGCTGTTCATTTTATGCTATTTCTGTATGCAATTTATTGTTATTTCCTGTTACATTTACATGTGATAGGTGGATTTGTAAAAATAATATGTGGATTTTTGGATATTCTCCCTTATGCACAATAGTTTACTTTTGATGTATTGTACATAATTTCTCATGATTCATGATTATCTAATTTATCTCTTAACACTGTAATACAGTAGCTGCACAATTTGTGTGGGCTGAAATGCTTATTAGCAGGTAGTGCATCATCTATAACTAATAATTACACAGCGGTAATATTTAATATTTTTAATTATGTATAACCCCCCACCATGAGGTTCTTTGTGGTCATAGTATTAAAAATCTCAGATTTTAATACATGATACGCTAATGTCATTGGTTTATTTTTATATGATAAACATTACCTAGCATATCTTCCAGTTTCTTGACAGCTGCCTTGTTTACTTTGAAATTAGTCTGTTCAGTTCTGCAAGGCAAGCAAACATGATTGGGGTTTATAGAACACAACACAAAAGTTATTGTCTACAGCCTTTATTTTGATCCATTTCCATATGACATCCACTAATTGACTTAAGTATCACTTCAGAATTTAATTTATTAAGTGCATATAAATGCAAGGGATCCAAATGTATTTTTATGACTTCACTCACACCCCACCTCCTATCAAGTGCACCTCACACACTCCAGTTTACCAGTTGTACTACAGTAGCCACAAAAGTACTGTTGTGTAGGAATGTGGGTTGTTTAAACTTTTTAAAACAGTTTTTAACAAATATTAAATTCTAGTTATTTGAAAAAGTTAATAGGAAAAAGAAGTAAGGATTAAATATTGATTTATGATTTAATATTGACGATGATTGAAGAGAACTGCTGCAGTTTATGCTTGGGATTAAACACAGACACCAGTGGAAATCCCCATTAAAGTTTCATTTTATATTTTTTTACTTCCATTTTGCTAGTTTTCCTTTTTACTTACGTCTTAGATTTCTTCACTGCATTGAACATTATTAGTCCTGCCAAAGCATTCCTCTGCATGTCCGATGAAAGAACTTCATATGATTCAAGACTTCCTGTGTGTTAACATTAGCAGGTTAATAGGAGGTATAGTTCTCCCTTGACCAAAAAGTAGCACTCTTGCGAAGGGACATCCAGACCAAGGAAGACTTTGGAAATCAAGATTTAAGCATATTTTTCAGTGGGAAAGGTATTTACTGAATAAACTGCTGCAGAATTTAAGTAAAACATTCAGATAAAGATACACAATTTGTGATAGAATCAGGGGAACAAACTGAATTATAGAAAAAGAGAAATGCCGAATAGCAGAAGTACATATACTGTACCAGACGTGTGATGAAAACAACAAAGAATCCGAAAATAAATGTGTAAATTAAAAATGCTGAGCATCAAAAGAAACACATCACGATAACTGCAATTAATTCACAAACGTATTATCATGAGAATTACATTTTTGTTAGTCGGGGCATTGACATTTTATTACTTGACAAATATGATATATCCAAATTAATCACAGGCCAGTAGAGGTACAGTATATTCACCTCTGAAAACAATACAAGCATGCTTTGCAGATGCTAACTTGTAGGACAGACAAGCAAAAGCTTTTTCACTAGTCTCTGAGCCCTTGATGTCAAGTAACCATTGATTAAGGAGATTCTATTGTACACAATTACCGTGCCATTCTGCATGTTTGTGGCATGTTTGTGTCTGACATCCATCAGTGGTCTATACAAAACCTTAAGTCATCATAAGCCTTTGCTCCATGAGTGGAAGGTCTACCTGAGACAACCTAATCCAGACTCCAATATGCCCATGGTAAAATGCATTGTCCTCTTGATAAGTGGTGTCCCGTTTGCTCTTTTCTACATTTTTCTTTCTTAATATTTGCAGCCCTGACATTAAACACGTTAATTACATCATCATCTTTGCCCATTCAACTCTCTCCACAAAACATTATCAAAGTGGGAAGATTTTCTATGATTTTTTGTGAAACCCTACAGGAATTGAGGAAAAAAAAACCCACCTGACAGGATGCGTTGTGCAGCAAATCCACGGACTGCAGAAACATAGCGATTCTCTATAAAGTCCTCCACATTCTCCTCAATCAAGTACCTGCACACCACCTGGACAAGCAGAAGAGCCAGTAAGCCACAATCTCCTGAGCACTGACTGCACTTAGAGTTTTCACTGTAGCAGTGGTAATTTCAGGACACTCTCATCATCCCTTGGTCAAATAATGTTGACAAGCAAGTTCCAAACTGCGTCAAAGGTTTTTCTTCCAATTTAACAGACTTTCATATTCCATTTACAAGAATCATCAGCATCTACTTTTCAGGCTGTCATGACCTACTCAGTTAGCCACAAAGTCTTAACGCATAGGGCTCTGAACTCTCCTTTTCAAAATCATTCTACACAAAATATTGGTTTATCTCACAAAGGGTCAATGAGCATACAAGTACCTGGTAGCCTTGTATAAAGGGCTCCATGATGGCCTCAAGGAAGGACAATATTTTATGGCCATTTTTGGTCACTGTTATGTCCTGATTTATTACTTGAATGGAACCACACTTTATGAGCGAGTGACAGCCTTCTTCGAAGTCCTAAGGGGGAAAAATAAAACAGAAAAAAGAATGAATTCATCAAAATCACCCATGACTTGCTTTTGTTTTCACAATAGTTTTTGAACATTTTTAATTTATCTGAAATTAGAACAAAAACAACATGCTTTATTATCCAAATTATATGGGAAATGTGAAAAATGTCATGACACTCTCATTATCATCAAGATTAAAATATGTTACATACAAGGTACTGTTGGAATCTTCCAAATTGGACTTTCTGCATCTAAAATATGTTGTTTCAGCTGATGCTAAGCCAGTCACACCTCAGAGCCTGTGATTTCTGGTATACAGTAATCTACCTAAAACACCGTACACGTTTTATTACTACATTAATGTGATTATTTTTGTTTTGTAACTACACATGCACTTTCTAATTTTAAAAAAGAAGACACCAGTGAATGGAGATGGAGAAACAGCAGCTTCTTCAGAAAACCGAAAAATGATGCTTTTTCATACATGACAGCTTTTCATGTCCTACAGTATGTCTTCAGATCAGCACAGTTTAAGGCATCTACTGCTTTATATAGTGGAAGAGATCTTGTAGCTTATATTTCCAAATTGGATAACAAATTCTTTGTATACATAATTAAAAAAGATTCAACAGATTCAAATGATTTCCCAACTCCTTTATTCCATAGTTATAGTGTACTTCACCTGCACTGTCCTACCAGGAATGAAGATAAACTCATTGGCAAAAACAACTTGAAGAAATCTGAAGAACCTAAAGACCTCCTCTGCAAAAAGAAAAAAAATTACTAAGAACTGTTAAATGAGCAAATCAAGCTGAAAAAAGCCATTAAGAAAATATGGCAAATGAATGAACTATATATCAATATAGTTTTATAAAACTCAGGAAAATTCTGTTTTTTTCACATAAACAGAACTTTGCTGTGTCCGTTCATTTTATGGCACCAGAAATCTATCAAAGAAATATAATAACAAATGCTAGCACCTGCATTTCATTTGAGAACAACACAGTCCTGACCAACACGGTTTTGTTTTGTTTTTTATTTTACAACACAACTGCATGCTTGATCAAATGTATTATAAAAGATTGGACTTATTAACGTTTGATTTTTTCTCAATCATAAAATCAATCAGTACCACCTTACCTTTCCTGGAACTGGCCACTGTATGTAAAGCAACTGCTATCAGCATTGGACGAACAAAGACATGAAGTGCCTGGTTCCTGTAGGAAGCGCACATGAGCACAGTGACAGCATGTTGGAATACCCCTTCCTCTGGACTGGCCTCACGCTGTGGCTCCTCAGTCAACACTATCTGCCCACCCATGTTGTGCACTATGTTCTTATGGAGAGTAATACTGGAAGAAACAATCTCACTGGCGGGCACACAATCTGGAAGGAAACGGAGAAAAACTTTTCAGTTCTGCTTAATTAAATACCATTCTGAAATCTTCTGAAAATCACTGTTGTTACAAACTGAACTTTAAGCCAGTGCAATATAGTCATATTTATAAACAGGTGTGCACAGTAATTGGTGATAAGTCTTCACACTTGATCAGGTGTCTATGCTAGTTGGGAGCTGTCAGCAGAACGGCTCGGAAAGGTACATTCCATATATATTTTTTAAAAATATGAGTAGATCTATAAGTAGATCTCAGATTTGTAATATGTTTGATTTTCATTGGTATTTGTCTCTGAACTCTTGAAAAACATGTATACTTGGCATGTATGCCAAATTTCCCCCTGGCCTGGTGGTGGTGGTGACAGCAAAATATATATTTCAGCTATTATTTGTATTTTTTAACACAAAACACTGTGGAAGAAAAAAACAGCAGTAATCCTGATTGTGGATATTCTATATTTATTTTAGAAACAGTCCTTATTGACAACTTACCAGGCCAGTCCAAGACTGCTCCAAATGTCTGCACTAAATTTCCCAGCCAGACTGTCTTTTCTATGAGAAGAGAAAATTCTATTCCTCTCAGATTCTGCATCAGAATTGTAGCAATCAGAAACCAAGGGCTTAGCACCTGCTTTTCTTCTTGTAGATGAACTATTCTGTGGGCTGTTTCATTGACAAAAACTTGGGTGTCTTCACTGGGCATCCTGGGAAGATCCCTGAAAAAATTGTTTAACATAAGGAGGTAACAGAATATCTACTAACTGGAGCATCACTGTACGCTAGGATGTTTAAAGGTATGTCAAACACTTCTCATCAATTTTAAATAATTTTTCAATCCAAAGTTAGACATTGCTTATAAAATGAAAATAAAAAGTGTATGTTACTTTGTTTAGTGCCACGTTTTTCTGAAGTGATAAAAACAATTGTACTCAAAGACCGGTTTTCAGAGCAGACAGTATTAAAAACACTTACATCCTTTGGATGATAATGTGCCTTCTCATTTTCAAAACCTTTACTCTTCAATTAAAATCTATTTATTTTCTATAATTAAAATGTTTGTTTTTTATCACACTAACAGAGGGTTTAACTAGCCAAAGCCAAACATATTTTTGTATTCATTTACACTGACATCATGAACAATCAGTTCAACTGTGTGGAGCAGTGGTTAGGTTTATGGACACATAACCAGAAGGTTCTGTGTTCAAAACGCAGGTAAAATGCTGCATCTGTACCCTTGCACAAAGTACTGTATATCAGCCAAAGTGTTCCAGTGAAATGCCCAGCCGTACTGTGTAATGTAAGTTGCTCTGGATATAAATGTAGCCAAATAAATTAAACTAATGAAACAAAAAGATACCTTCCAAGTAAAGAAAATGGGCTAGATGGGAAAAATGTCATCCTCTCATTTGTAACTTAAAAATTGGACAAACAAAAGGCTATTCTGAATTAATATCAAGGCCTCAAAATTAATCTAGAATCAATGCAACCATTGAACAAATAGTCTTTCTGCAGATAAACTCACTATAGTGGAGAGCAGAAACAAAACAGAAAGTATAGACACCAAATCTGCTACCTGGGAAGCAAGTTGAAGTGGCACCGATTGATCCTCCCTTTTGACAAATGTCTTAGTGACAAAGGATGTCCAAAGTATACATGCATAGTGCCAAAGTCCTCACTCAGTACTTTCCTGGCTTTTAAAAGGCCCTTCAGAGTAAAATAATATGATGATTAATTAAAAGTAATAATCAAATCAAGTGTCACTGAATTAAAAGCTTTAGACAAATCAAATTAATTTCTCTCTGTCCTTCAAATCAGGACTTATTGTATTACAATAGACAAACTGAGAAGAGAGGCATACTGAGGTAGACTCTCTAGGTTTGGGTGTTCCAAGGAGCTCGTAGGCAAGCAAGGATTCTTCCAGCACTCTCTCATAGCTGATGCTGATTGGAACTAAGCTGACGTCATACACTTCCCCCTTAAAAAAGGGGTCCATCACCATATCCACGAGACCTAAAAACAGAATTGAAGGATTATAGTAACAGGGCAAGATAGTTTTTCTGCTTTGCTCCATTATATCTATCCCTGGGAGAGCACCAGATCTTACTATTTTACTGGTGAAAACAGCAATCTATCTAATTCAATCTATAATTTGGAACAGAATTTCTAAGCATCCAGCCGTTATCTGAAAGTTAGTTATTTCTGGGAAGGGTCACAGTGACCTGGAGCCTACCTCAGGACATGGGACTGGACAGGACAGCAGTCCATTATTTTGCATACAAACTAAGAATAATATACAGTTATCAATTCACCTAACTAGAATGTCTTTGGAAAATGGGAGTGAACCCAAACATTCAGAGAAAATTCACAGGGAAGCTATCACACCCATGACAGAAGGCTTCCCTATCTGAAATTAAATCCCCAAACTCAAGAGCAATAAGACTGATGTGCTAACACACAATTTACAGTATACCCAAAATTATTCATTTTCATATAACATACAGATTACCTATGTGTTTGTCAAAAACTTTCAAAGTATTCTGTCAGATCAGAAAAAAAGACATTTCTCAAAGACTTTAACATAGTTATTTAATAATGAAGAAGGACAATACTGTCGATTTCTCGTGTTTTTCCTGAAAAATATAATCTTAATAATATGATAATATATCTTCAAATAACAGGTTTAAAATGATAAGCATTATTCTAGGGTTCAGGATAGGGCCTGAATTTGGGAAAATAAAGTGCTGATTCAGTTTTAGGTGCTGCTGGAAACCTAATACAAATAAGGCTAACAAGGCATCAGGGACTCCTGATTTATTAGATACAACCTAGTATCTGTGCTATTAGTGCTGTCAGGTTTTTTGTGTGCTAGATTTTAGTGGGGGTAAGTTGAAGATATATTAGTTTTTGATATATAGAAACCAGAGTCTGGCTGAATACACTGTAGAAGATAGAAAAAAGCTTTTTTTAAATGTCCATACTTGCCTAGCTTTGGTCTCATTGATTTCACAGTGCGACTTCTCATCCCTTCCACAAAAAACAAAACTGGAGCAAAACCTTTCTAAAAGACAGAAATACCTGCAATAACTCACTGGCCCATATACTGTAGAAAAGAAGAACCACAGTTGTTCAAAGCTTTCCAGATTGGACAACTTAACAGCATAACAATATAGTTTTAAAAGGTCTTCTGAAAGTTTTTTTTATTGTAAATTGTAATTACACATGTCCTAAAGCGTTTTAATTAAATAAGCAGCAGTTATCTTTAACTGTAGTTTAGTTTATGGAAAAAAGACTGGCACATCTCAATTGACCAGAATGTGTTAAAAAGTACAGTATATCACATTATTGATTTTGTTATTTGATTAGTGATTGATACTGTTTTAAACATGACGTTTTTATGGAACAGAAACAAGTTGAATATCAAATAAATTAAATATTAAATAAATAATAATTATCAATTGTTATTGATTTGATTGATTTAATATCAAATAATAACACATATTATTGATTAGATTACTGTTTTTTTGGGAGTTGTGATTTGTTGTATTTTTATATTTTTTCATAAGTATTCTTTATTTATTGTAACAGGATCCCCTTGAAAATGAGATGTGCACTTCAAGGTGTTTTATTCTGTCAATAACAATAACAATAATAATACTAATAATTTCATTGATACAGGTTTTGTACATGATGTTTTCACAGACATAAAACAAGCTATTTTAAAATATGTCTATTTTCATAAAGGAACCATATGGATTGAGAGGGCTACTGATGCAAAGGATCCATGTGATGTTGCTTCTGGGTACTAGAAATCTTATAGATGACAGTGTCACTGGCTGCTATATTACACATTCCCTCTGAAGAAGGGACTAATGTGACAATACAAGGCTGGCATGAGAGACTTCTGCTTAAATCCCTATAGAGGGATACTGGTGAAAGCTGAAGCATGAAGGGTATGAGGAGTATGGTGAAACTGTGTGTAATGGAATACAAAGAGAAATTAACTTAAATACAAGGAGATACACTTTATAGTACTACAATTATTGCATTTATAAAAAGGGATTTTTTTAACATCAAAATATTGTTTTTCTCAAATCCATGTACAGTATCTCCAACTTGAATCTGAAATCTTACCTGTGTAAGGGAAATTAGGCACTACTTTAAGAATTATTTACCCGTATTATGGTTTTCACATATTCAGACAGCACAGCCCAATAAAGCTTGTCCCCACCAATGGAACGACGTATGTAGAAGGCACCAGACCTACGCAAAATCTCTCCAAAGAACTTCATTCCCAAGAGAGCTGGAAGAGAAATTATGGGGTTTCTGAGGATGCCTAGTTAGGACAGAAAACAACTCTCCCCAGGAGATCACAAGATTACACAGTAATGAATTATACATGGAATAGAATCAAAGGATGAAGCCATAATAGATACTTGCGGATTCCTGCAGCAATGACTGGCAAGGGAAGATCGTAGGTGAAGAGAATATAGGACAGGACCAAGAAGTCAATGTAGCTCTTGTGATTGGGAAGCAGCACTACTGGGTATTCCTGAATAGCTTGCTGAAGCTGTAAAAAAAGATGAAAAGAAACAGCAGTTAGTGAGCAATTTCAAATGACAAAGGAATTCATCACATCCATCCATATTTCAAAAATAACACACAAATCTAACAATGCTCAGGGAATATTGCATCCGCAACATGAATAATTTCATTCATTTTCAATGGAAAGATTAATTATAGAATGCAACAATTTATAAAGACATTGAATTAAAACTAATCTCTACATGCCATTCTTTAAATACGATACATGCCATATGTTTTACAAAAGCTTTTGTTCAAGATAATTATTTTTAAATATTTATAAATATGCAAATATATCGGGTTCTTGGCTAGCAACTATAATACAATAAGGTCAAATCAAGAGACATCGGTACAGCAATCAAAACATGTCGGTTTTGGTTTGTTCAAAGTAAGTCCAATATATTGACAAACTTCGTATACAGTAAAGGTACAAAGCAGAATATAAGGTTTATATGGACAGAGTTTGACCTGAAATGATTTGCTGTTGATGTTTTTTTTACTTGTATCAGGAAATGTGTCGCTAACAGTTATGTTTTAGGAAAATTAACATCAAGCACCAATGCAATTAAGCAATCAATATAAATACAAGGGAGAGGGAATTTAAATATCTTTGTGTGATACAAAAAGTGGCAGTAAATATCGTGAGGAAGGTTTGTGTATTAGCATGAAAATTATTTAACAGTTGTGAGTAAACACATAGATCTTTTTATAAGCAGCTTTTACAAACTATTTGGCATTTTATATCTACTCTATACTGTAGGTAATACAATTGCCCTCATCAACAGCTGACACCTGTTAATATACTTCATCAACAAAACACATCCCTAACAAAGCAGCTGGGTGTTTTGCTTCAGTGGACTCTTTCATCAATCAATGTGATAACCCAATTCTCAAACTCTTTCCCATTCCTAAGATACAGTACATGCTGTAGGTCCAGCCTCACCCAATGAGACCTCCAGGCACTCCAGTCACTCAACAACAGAGATGATCTTGTCATCAAAACAGCAGAAAAACAAGGTGCTCTTGTTAAGTACCTATATTGTATATTGCAGAAGCATTTAGACAACTAAAGGATCCTACTATTGCCCAAAAAAGGAAGATCTATCCACAGTCTCATTTCTCCTCAGGAATGAAGAATTACCCAAGGACCCTACCGTCTTATTGTAGAGCATGTTCAAGCATCTCGGTTCAGCTGTATCTCCTTCCAAAGATCCACAAACCTGACACCTCAGGACAGACAGCTCCCCCACACCATTTCGTCTTTCCTTGACAGTCTAATAAGACCCGTGGTTAGAGTGTTTCCTTAATATATTAAAGCCACCAGCCAAGCTCTACAGCCTTCTAACAACTTTCAGTTTCAGAGATGTTTCAGAGATTGCAGAATGTTTCATTTTCATCATGGCCATCACATCCCAAGACAATGGTCTCACAGCCTTCAACACATTAAACACTCAGGGTTTGATCCTTCAACTTGCAGAAATGGTCCTCACACTACTTGCAATTGCTTTCAGTAATCTTTTCTATCATCAGGTTAGCTGGAATTCGTCTGCATTGCTGAAGCAGTTTCAGAGCATAATCCATCAGGATGTTTTTTGTGTTCAATATCTTAAATTCAAAGAAATAAATGATTATACTGGGTTCTTTGTAATCTGACCCAGGTCCCCACTCAAAATGCTCTCTAAGCAAGTCTCCACTGAAAACAAGACTGACTGATGATAATCTGCAGGCAATACTTAGAGTTGCTATGAACTCATTAACGCTCAATAGCCAGCATCAGGTGTTAGAGAAGTGATGCTACAGTTTTATGCAAAAGTTTGGGCACCCCTGGCCAAATGATGTTTTGTTGATTTTTGTTGATTTGTTGAAGTGAAAAGAAGTTAACACAACCTCAGCAGCGAACAAACTTAAACTTGACATGTTTCTCCAAATATTAATACAGTTACTATTTATTTATTTGCTGAATTTAACAGATTGAAAAGAAGAAAACAGTTTGGGCACCCTTCCAGGCAATCCACTAGTGTTATTTGTCTGTAAGGTCTCAGAACTTAATTGAGTCGTTAGATCTTAATCTATGTCAGGTGATGACAATTCCAGAACTTTATACATTATTTGACTCTTTGAACATCTCAGGGTGTTGTGCTTACACTTCACAACCATTGGCTCCGCTAAGCAGCTGACTGAGGATCAGAAAATAAAGATAATTGACTCTTACAAACCAGGGAAAGGATAAAAAAAGATATCTAAACACTTCCTGCTTGCAATTTCCACTGTCTGAAATATCATTAAGAAATGGAAGTTAAGAGGAACTGCTGAAATCAAGACAAGATCTGAAAAACCAGGAAAAACCTCAGACAGAACTGCTCGTAGACTGGCCAGGAATGCAAAGCAAAACACCCATATCACTGCAAAGGACCTGCAGGAGGGTTTAGCTGGCACAGGAGTAGTGGTGTACCGGTCCACTGTGCAGCGTTGCTTGAACAAACATGATCTGCATGGAAAAGTCATCAGAAGAAAACCTTACCTGCCATCTCATCACAAAAGTCAATGTCTGAAGTATGCAACACAACACTTAGATAAGCCAGAGGCATTTTGGAACCAAGTGCTGGCGGTCTGATAAAGTAAAATTGAACTCTTTGGTTACAATCACCAAAGGTACGTTTGGAGAAAAAAAGGAAAAGCATTTGAAGAAAAGAACACCTTGCCAACTGTCAAGCATGGGGGTGGATCTATTATGCTTTGGGGTTGTGTGGCAGCCAGTGGTACAGGAAATATTGTGTGGGTAGAGGGAAGAATGGATTCTACTAAGTATCAATAAATCCTGGAAGCTAATGTCCCACAGTCAAAGAAGAAACTGAAACTGAAAAGAGGTTAGATATTAAAACAAGACAATGATCCAAAACATACCTCAAAATCAACCATGAACTACTTAAAGAAAGGAAAGATTAAGGTTTTGGAAGGTTTTGGAATGGCCTCCACAGTCCCCAGACTTGAATATTATTGAAAATCTGTGGGTAGATCTCAAACATGCAGCGCATGCAAGACGACCTACGAATATTTCTGAACTACAGTAGAAGGGTTCTGCAAGGAAGAGTGGGGAAAAAAGTCCAAAAACAAGAATAGAGAGACTGTTAGCTGGCTACAAGAAACGTTTGGAGGCTGTGATTTCTGCCAAAGGTGGTGTTATTAAGTACTGACTAATAGGGTGCCCAAACTTTGCACATGTCACATTTACTGTTTTATTTTTTTCAATCTGTTAAATTCAGCAAATAAATAGTAACTGTGCACTAAAAGTTGCAAGTTTAAGTTCGTTTGCTGAAGAGTTTGTGTTAACTTCTTTTCACTTCGAAAATCAACAAAACGTCATTTGGCCAGGGGTGCCCAAACGTTTGCATGCAACTGTATATACCCTAGTGACTGAGTTACAATACATTATACTATACACACTCACATTTTGACATCGACTATTACAGCCTATTGTGCATGTTCTGTGTGACTGCAAGGGTAGGGTAATTGATTTACCAGTTTGTGGCCCTTTGGCTGGCTATTCTGGAACTGTAACTATTCCAAGGTTCAAGGCTGAGGTACTCCACTAATTATTTCACCATAATCTGTGAATTCACCTTTATCCGCATTATACTCTAATCAATAACCAACTCTCAAACCAAACATGTTACTGTACCTTGAATTCCTACTGGCTGTATCTGCCAGAGAACTGAAATAAGTGTGTTGTGTCCCAAAGTCCTACAGGTAAGTGTGAATTTCAAGTGCATATACAATAAATCCCAGGATGGTTTGTCTTTTTCTAGATGTTTGTGGTGCCACGCTTAATAATTATACACAAGTTTAAGCAAGCAGGCATCTGATAAACAACACTGATCATTAATTTACTTCTAGAATGGAGTATGATTTTCATATTTCATAAAAATTAAGTATACTCATTATATTAACAAAATGAATCCAATAAAATAAAAGTTGATAAACATACTCATCCAGACTGATCTTTTCTGCATAAGACACTTATAAAATCTGCCACACCCAAACTGCACAGGCACCTAAGGAGTTGCAGAAATTCCATAAAGGTCAAAGGTTACAATTATTTTTAATCCAGTTATCCTCTCGTTAGGCTTATCAGTTATCCTAAAATAATACTAATAACCTATACAGTAAGCAAACACTCACTCTCTGAATGCCTTCCTCGTTAACTCTCACTCTCCGAAAGACCCTTTTGAAAACTTTGCTTAGACTGTAGGCAAGGAATCGGATAAAGCCTAGTTGTAGGTTCTGAGCCATTTCTTCAAGAATTACAGCAGCCTCTTCTTGGATGATGGCTGGGGACTCCCCTGTCTCTGCTGACATCTAGGAATAGATTGAACACAGTGTTACAAACCTATGCCAGCAACCTGCTGTGACTCTGCTTACAAAATGAAGGAGTCCAGTTTATTTTAGAAACAATGTCATACTGACAGCTATAAAATTAAGAGCACAAACATTAATAAAAAACGATTAACCACTTTTAGGTTCTTTATTCATAATAAAACCCATAATACCTACAAAAAATGATGTGGGAGCATACGGGGAAACAAACTATTGCGAGTGATTCCAATACTCTATGATCCTATATAAGCAGTGGCATGGATTAAAAGGCTTAAGAAGGCTCTAGGAGATTGTCATACTAGATTATTCTTAGTACAATTTAGAATGTTTTATATTTCTGTGGTGCATTTTCAACCCAAAGGTTCCCCAAGCACTTTATATTTAGAGTGGAGGCTCATTCATCCACCCCTACAGCACCCACTACACAGAAGATCACACAGAGAAGTGAGAAATTAATTCACCAACATTTCCAAACCAGAATGAAATATTGTAACACTGAGCGACACCAAAACAATGATTGAATCATGAACAATTATCATTTGATTATCATATCTGAATTCCATGCGTTCTCTATGCATTAAATAGTATGCAACACTGCTACAACATAACACTATAGTACAACATACAATAATCAATAATTGCAACCTAAGTGTGACAAAAAATCTTCACCTTGTTGGACTTACCTGCTGTATAACAAAGTGTAGGCATTGTGACTGAAGTACAGCGGTCTTCAGCATGCCAGCACTACAAGGCATGACTCCTTTGTACAGCACTGGGGTGAAACTTCTCAGAGCATATCTGATATCACTCGAGTTTCTTCTATTCTCTAGGATATCCTCAAAGTCATCTCTTTGACTTAATTCTTTATAGCGAATCTTTACAGGAACAACACAAAAGTCAACAAATCATTGTCATAGCCAATTCTTTTTCTGGGCATTGGTGTATCACATTTCCTAATGTGTAATTACAATATCTAAAAGCTTTTTTTTCTGTTGTTTGTTGGTATTGTGGTACAGTTACTATAGAAAGATTAAGAATGATGTGGCCCTTATACTATATAAGAATTTGCTAAATAAAACCAGTAGAACTCTGTTAGTGTTTCCAAAATCAGGTGCTGGAGTGCCCCTATGTCTTCTGGTTTTGTTTGAAGTGAATTCTTCATTATTTAAGCTAATTGAACCTTTTAACTGTTTGCTTTTATAGGTTTCAGCCCTTGAATGGTAAAAGAACTTTAGTGGTTAACATTACTATCAGTAGCTGGGATTCAGAATTTGTGTCATACTGTATACTTTAGTTTAAATGCCTGTACATCATTAAGAATGCTTATGATGGCAGTGTTTTAGTTTTATTCCCACTTGCCACATGGGTTCAATGGAAAATTGACCTCTTATTTGTCCGTAGTAAAGTCTGATATCTTCTGGAATCTTTTTGCATGACTTTGTGAAGACATTTTAACTAACAGAGCTCTCTTTGAATGAAGATGGGCTATTGTAAACTGATTTTAGTACCAGTTTTTTTAGTTCTCGAAACAAGAATAGTTGCTTTCTCTGACCACCAGTTGGACACCATTTATCCAAATGCTCAACTCTCATAGTAGCCAAAGTGCCTTAGTGTCAGACACCTTCACTGGCCGTTTTCTATACCTTCCCGTGGCTTTCATTTAACCTAACTTACGTATCATTTTATACCTGAAAATCATTTATAAAAGTGGCAATAGATTATCGTATTTTAAACTGAACTAAAACCCTTGGAAGTATGCGTTTTTAATGCTTACTGACGATTTCTTAAAATTGTTTTAGAATCAGGAAATTCGCAAAAGGTTTCCATATTATGAAATATAATATTAGGAGGGTGGCAGTTAAAAACTATATTAAGAGAGGTGTATATTGAAAGCTTTAAAGTATTACAATAGACAAACAAAAACTATAACGACTGCGATTAGAAGCAGTCATGGTTTTCGTAGCTTGGACATTGATAAACTAACATGAACTTAAAATCGAATTTAAGACGAAATGTACAACATTTCAGCAGGTGATATAAATGTAAATATACGTAGTAGTACAACTTCCGGTATGTAAATATTTAGAGGAATGTTTGCTTACCAAATTCTCCATTACTTCAAAAAGACCTTTGTTTTCTCGTGTTCTACTAGTGTTCTACTAGTGTTTCTTAGGCGCCGTTTAGATTTGCTAATTTTTTTACTTAGAAATTATATATCGGAGCACTTCATATACTATACTGTACTGTAACAAAAGCAATCTTTCGATTTCTCACAATCTGAAGGAAAGCAGTAACTGTTCTATTCCGAAAACCAATGAACGCGCGAGTAAATTAGGAACCACCCCCGGAAAACTGGATTACCACTTCAGTGACATAATTTCATAGATTTAAAGATTTCTCTTTCAAGATGGCATTCTACAAAAGTAATTTTCTATATGGATCTTGAAAAGAGCGTTTAAAGGCGTCATATGTAAAATTTTGTTTTACTTAAGCGTTTAGATTGCATATGCTCTCTATATTTCCAGTGATAAAAGGAATAAAAGAATATAAAATCTTAAGAATATAAAGTTTTATCTTAGCAACCTATCTGCCTCATACTGTCAAAATAGTTTAATACTATACTAATAATAATTAGAAGTGTAAGAAGCACAATCTAATAATATATGCATACGCAGAAGGTATAGGTTTGGAGCAGTGTCGGACTGGTGAGAATGTGAGAGAATTTATCCTGTGCATTTTGCTTGGATTTGCGGACTGAAACTTTGCTCCGTTTATGTTTTCTGGGCGAGTGTGGTGTGATACAAGAAATGTGTTTAAGTCAGTGCTCAGGTTAGAAAAATCTTGGATTTTAATCCCTTCTTGGTGTAGTTGAGCCTTTTTTTTTAAAGGTGGAACTTTGGACAGTCCCATAAATCCTAAATTATAAGAGACATTGCATAGTGTCTAGCTGATGTAATATTGTTCATCTTTTTATTTATCAAGTTTTATTTATTAAGTTGTTAAATTTGCTTATTAGTAAGGAAAGGTTGCACTGGTTGAGAGGAAGCTTAGTTTCCCAGTTTGTTGTAATGGGGTGGAATTATACTTGGTACATTTTGAGTATTTCTTTAACAACCCACCCCTCTGCAGGAATAGTTTAGTTGCTTTTGTTCAAATACAGGCCAAGCACTGGATGAGTATGGTGTCACCACCTTTGTTTCCCAGGAAAGCCTGAGTTATATCAAACTTCACACCCAAAATCGCCATACCCAAATTACACTCTGAACAAGAACAACAGGGGTAATTATTCACAGTTTTATTGAACAGAGGCCATGAGAAGGGAAAGAGTAAATTACACTACAAATCACACCACAAGAGATATGATTCACCAACTACACAACTTTGTCACCTCTTAATCATTGTAACGCTACACTAACCCAAATATTGTTCAATATTGCCAAGAACAAAGTTTTTATACTTATATAAATTGTATACTAATGCAATAAAATTAAAACAATAGTCCAAGTACCACCAAGAATACACATATGGTAAAAAGGGTTAAAAACCGTCTGTTAATACACAAAGTATGGGAGTAAAATTTTTTTAAACAGTTCAAATCACATTGTGCGGTGTCTACAATTGCTAACGCGCTAAAGAGCTCATCATTCTGTTACGAATTCACCAAGATGGCTCCTCCCATTTTCATAGTCGACAAAATCCCTCCCTGCTCTCTCTCTTCCAGGCCTGTTGTCCTCTCTGTCACCCAGTGCTTCCTTTGCCTGTACATTGAGACCCCTCAGTTTTAGACTGTCCTTGTGTTGAACGACCAAGCCAGTCACAGAAGTGACATTGCCACCTCTGAAATTTAAAGTGTAAAACTCTGCTGTGGTAGATGACTGGTCTTTTGGTGAGGCAGAGTTATCCACTGTTTAGGTAGCACTGCATGATCTCAACCTGATGAAGCTCAAAAAGTGGTTGTATCATTTTATGAAGATAATCCTTGTGTACTGTTTGCCTCAGTGCTGTGCTGTACCATTAAATGCACTATCCTGCTATCCTGCATCCTGTTGCAGGTGCAGATACCAGGGTTTGCAAGTGGGTTGTTGCTTAATACTTTCTTTTTCTACACTCACCACGGTTTGTACAGCTTTTATTTTCCTTAACAACAACACCAACCGCAGGATTTACACACACATTAGGGGACTGATGGAACACGTACAGTACACAGGTGTATGGTGGTAACTCGTTAACAGACTCTACACATTTACTAAGCTTCAAAGAACACTTAAACTAACATATGTTTATTTACATGAGCAGGCTCAGCTGCTGGCCATCTTACAAACCCTCGGACTCCCTCCAGCTACAACTCCCAGCCGGCTTTGCTGTACACTCAGCACCTAGGTGCACCACCAGGCGAGGGCGCTACAGTTAAAATCCAACTTGGTTTCCTATGCCCAAATCAGTTTATGGCAAAGAAGGAGGTTAGTGGGGTTAGTCAATTCTTGAAAAAAAATGCTTTTCAATGCCTGCTAATTTGATAGAAAAAGCTTTGTAACAGCTTTTATGAACTAAGATGTATGTTCACCTTTTATAAAATAATGTTCAGTACTAACCACAATTACTACCTCCTTATATCAGGAAAGTGAATGTCCATAAGAATATAAAAGTTTGCAGGTTTCTCCAGTTTTCCCTTGTCCCAGGTTTTATTTAAAAGTTCATACTTATTCCTCTCTGGAAGTGGTTATTGATCCCAGTCCCTTTTTTAGTACAAATACCTGAATAAACAGTATTATTTATTATTATGGAAACACTGTTCTAATTTTTGTAAATTGTATTTCTTTTAAGTTTTCAGGCAAGACACAATGATCTCATAAAGAAAGCACTGTTTAAAAAAAATAAAGAAGGCTATTTTGTGAGAAATGAGTTCCAGAAGTTTAGACAATATTTTCCACCAAAACTGGAGCGCTGGATTTGTTCTTACTTTTCTCAATAGGCTGACCTTTGACCTTTCTATTTTTCCTTTTTCCTTTTCCTCAGTTCCCTCTCTCTGTTTCCCCTTCCTCCTTGTTAAACTAGCCCCCTTTTTTTAGCAGCTAACCCCTCCAACAGATGTTAATTAAAACAAGGACCAAATCACCTTAAACAATTAAGACTTACTGTAAGAAGTTCCTGGCCAGGTTTTACTAATTGGAAAAAAAATAAATCACTATAAATAATAAAATAATTGTTACGATCCCTGCCTCCCGGCAACGGAAGAGGCAGAAGTAGGCGTAGCCCTACTCCTTCAGTTTACCTATTGGTTTTCCTTTCGAGCTTCCTGGTTGCGCTACTCCTTCTTCTACCTTGTGTTCTTCTTGGCTTTTGGTTTACGGTTTTTCCCCTTTTGACTACGGCTTTTCGGATCACGGCTTGGCTTCGTTATTAACGCTCTGTTTTGGATCTCTGGCTACCCCTGGACTATCGGATTGCTCTATTGTCTACAATTTCGGATCATGCTTTGGCTTCGGTACAGTAACTCGTTCCCTTTTGGATCTCTGGCTTCCCCTGGACTCTCGGCTCGTTCCTTCGACTACGGCTTTCTTTGGATCACGGCTAGGCTTTGTCAGCTCCTGCAAGTGGGTTCACTCACTGGTTTCGGTTTCTCTTACCGAATCC